TCTAGGAAGTAGCCGCTAGATGATTCGTTAGACGTTCCGGGCGGTGACCAAGAGCCGTAAGAACCGTAACCGCCGGGTCCGAACTTCTGAAACAAATACTTTATTGAAATCCTGTAAGAAAAACTTACCAACCAAGCTACAAGAACCTTAAATGAAATAATTTATTTTTTTTTTTTTTTTTATTTATTATACAAAAACTTCACATAAACAAATTAAACATCGGTTAGACAGTAGTACTAAAAACCCACAGGGTTTAGGTGTACTTACTGGTCGCTTATTAATTTATAAGATCAGCAAATTTAACAAATACAGACGTTATTAACCATTTCACAATTATATAATATATAAACAAAAAGAACAGAGATTAAACGGTTTTTTTTCAGACTATAGTAGAAAGACAAAAAAGCGAAACAAAAGAAAAGTAGATATATAAAACAATTGATTGTTAAGTTGCAATAAATATAAGCTATTTATTTAGAAGTGCCGATTTCAAAATTCTTTTACATTTTTCTGGTTTCTTAACGATTTGGTCATGCACGGCGCTTTCCAGATCGTTGAGCAGCTGCGGCAGGAGATACTGCCAAGTTCGCATACCATAGGCATTATTATAAGTGGGTAATTTATATTTGGGAGAATTAGGTAGATTTCGTAACTGATTTGGCCTTAGATTTTGTTTTAATTGTGGTAAGTTATTTATTTCATCACAAATAGTATATAATTTAGTTTTTTTATGAATATCTAAAATTTTACAGTGATGAAAAATTTTCTGATCATTGTATGTTTCTTTTAATTTCTTTGGTATAATTGTTTTAAGTATTTTAAGTTGCAACAAATATATATTATTTATATAACTACAGTATGTTCTGCCGTAACTGCTCAATCCGTATCCTATGACAGCATCGGCCAGTGCATTATACAACATCCTCAAAATCTTATAAGGCAATTTATGTCTAAGCAGGGACAATCTAGAAAGAACTGATCTTAACTTATTACAAACATAGTCGATATGTGGCTTCCAGTTAAGTTTACAGTCTACAATAAGGCCTAGATATTTATGTTCCTTGACAATTTCAATTAAGGTACAATCATTATTGCACATGGGTGTTTGTCGGTGTAAGCATTGGTGTGAATGAGCTGTTAAGGAAGGTTTGACTAATGATTTAATATGGGAGGAATGTATGTGCATGAGCTTAGTTTTTTCATGGTTTATAACCAAGCCTACATCGTGAGCCCATTTACATAACAAGTCAAAGTTTACTTGCATTTTATTTATAGCGTTCGCTAGGCAATGATCAGCTATGACAATGCAAGTATCATCCGCAAATTGGTATACAGAGCACTCAGTTAATACATTGCACATGTCGTTACAATATAATAGGTATTCTATCGGCCCGAGTACCGAACCTTGAGCGGTTCCTTCTTCGGTCGGTATAAAGTTACTAAACACATTATTTATTTTTAATGTCGTTAATCGATTGTGATGATAATTTTTAAATAAATCTAAAAGAGGTCCCTGAATGCCATTTTGTTCGAGTTTCTCATATAAAGTAGGAAATTTTAAAGTTTCAAATGCCTTACTAAAATCTATAAATAACGCAAGTACATGATTCTTATCATTTAGGCAGCAATTAACTTCATTCGTGAATTTACATAGTAATTGCGTTGTGTTTTTATTTTTTTGGAAACCATATTGACGTACGTCTATTATTTTGTTGTTAACTAGATATTTGTACAATTCACTGCCAATATACTTTTCTATAATTTTATCTATACAAGAGAGGATTGTGATTGGCCTATAGTTATTAAAAACATTGAAAGCACCCTTTTTGTGTACTGGTCTTATTACACCAATTTTTAACTTGTCTGGATAACTACTTTTCGCTATACATACATTTATGAGATGTGTAATAACAGGACTTAATTGTTCACTTATGTACTTAATGTCCGAGGCACGTATGCCGTCATACCCTGGACTTTTTTTACAGTTCAGGTGTTTAATTATATTCTCAACGACCTTGATTTTAGCCTTTTTTAATCTCATCGCACTTTCGGGCTGATTAATATAATTATATTCTTTTAACAATGGATTATTACAAGAATAGCTAATATTTTTTACATTATTTCTGAACTCTTGAGCAAAATCATTTACTAGGTCTTCTAACTTATAATTGGAAAAGGACTTTGTAATTGTGTCATCTAACGATTTAGTTTTTTTGCCACATAATTTATTTATAATTTGCCACAATCTTATTGGGTTATAAAAATTTGTCTGTACATCTTTTTTTATAGCGCTATTTCTTAAATTGTTAATATATTTATTAGTTTTATTTCTATATCTATTATATAATAATTTGTTTTCTTTATTACTTACATCTTTTAACCAAATTTTTAGCAACTCTTTTCGTTTAGCACACATATAAAGCATTCTGTTATTTACCCAATTACAAAGTCCACGTTTGTTTAATTTTATGTTACAACTATACTTGCATTTATCATAAACAAAGTTAAACTTCTCAATTATTACTTTCAAAACGTCGTTAGGGTCTTCGTATGTAAGCGCCGGACTCCAGTCAATATCGCGCAATAGAGATTGGACTTTATTAATATCATATTTGAGTATGTTTTGCCTGTTACGCACTAAGCTGCGGCTATCTGCAATTACTAAACCGTTTATGAAGTGATCGGCGAGCGCATTGTTTACAACTGCAGTTTTTATGAATCGTTCGGTGTTATTATGTAAAAACGACGCGCGGATAAAAATATGATCTATGCATGTCTTAGTAACATGTTCATTTCTTAATTCCACTCGCGTATATTGACTGATACCCGACTCTAATCCTAACTCGCTCAATACATTTAAATATTGTGATGTAAGAGTGTTACATTGTGATAAATCAATATTCATATCACCTATAAGCACATAATTGTCATTATCTGGGGATGACCTAATTAGCCGCGACAGTTCGGAAATAAAAAATGACTTACTTAAGTTCGGCGGCCTGTACACCACACAGATGTCAGTCTTGTAGTCATAACTTGTAGTTATCGTACCTGTGATACACTCGAACGAAATAGTAGATGTAGGTGTTCTGTTGAATTTTAAACTATTATGCACATATAGAATAACTCCGCCGCCTCTTCTCTTGTCACGCAATTCCCAATACATTTCGTAATTTTCTAGCTCAAATAAATTAGTGTAATCATCTGAGACATTCGCTTCTGTTATAGCGATAATACTTATAATTTTCGTGCTATTTGTTACAATGTAATCTAGTTGAGAGAAGTTCTTGATCATGGATCTAATGTTTACATGTAAGACAATTAGTGAGTTTGATTTAATATATGACGTGTTGTTTATGAAATCATTCCAGCTGTCCTGATTAGTTTCTTCTATATTAGCGGTTCATTGGGTATTATTTTGATTTTTTAACGTCGTCTCCAGCCCTTCGATATCCTCGGTAGATCTGATAATATGTGGTTTGTCTGTCTCTGTACGTCTAGCGAAGATTGATCCTTTCTTGTACCAAACGAACTTACACAAACCGTTACGCAGGAGGGTTTCCTTAGCTTTCCATAGTAAGTAAGAGTTACTTGGTGTTAGCGATTCGCGTATCTGTATTCTTGATTCCTCACCGCGTCCTATGTCTTTGCAGCTCATGTTGGTATTCCTTGCAGAGCTCAGCCATTTATTTTCTTCGCCGTGTGATAGGACAACCACGATAGGGGTGGGATTAGTGCTATTTGAGTTCCGTTTGTTAACCTTTTTTCGGTAGGCCTCTAGAATAGCGTCTTGTCTTTGGTTTAATTTTGAACATATTAATTTCGCGATAGACATAATATTTTCGTCCTTCTGCTCTTGTACACCATGGATCTCGAGACGGTTGCTCAATATGTTTTGAGAAATCGCATTTATTTTTTGTTCTAACACTTCGTTTTTAAGGTTTAAATTTTTGCATGTATTTTTATATTCGTTTACTTGATTTTCGTAATGTTTCATTTTTGCTTCGTATTCGTCTATTTTATCGGAATAAAATTGTAAGATGCTTTGTAGCTCTTTTTGTACAGTTTCTTTTATATCCTTACGTATTTCATACATTATATTTTTAGTAATTTTTTGAATTTCCTGCGGCGACCCGAGTGTGTTTTCGGTATCGGTGAGTTCTTCTTCGGGATCCGGCATGATAAAAGAGACGCGCTTGGGCCTGGCGCCATCGCTGCACGAACAGCACTTCCACTCCGCGTAGTCGGTTTTAAACAGCATGTTGAGCTGCTCAGGGGACAGGTCGGCGCATACCCCGTGAATCCATTTCATACACTGAGCGCACTGCAATCCTGGGCACTTCTTGGTTACCAGTTTATTACATTTTACACACTTAACCATTTTTGCTTCAAAAATTTAATACACTACCGCGGGTACTTGTAAATAATTATGCGCGCTTCGACAACGTCTGTAATGACTCACTGACAGAAAGCGACTGGAAATGATAAAGCAATACTTTTATACAACTTAAACGTTATTTCCATAATTTGTTTTAAATATATTATATGAATAAAGCGTTTTATTGATATATAATGGTGTTGATTAAAAGCGGACAACGTACGCGATCGAGTTCATCCTGCAGCCAGGCGAGGAGCTGTCGCCAGCGACGGCGCGCCTCGATGTGGCTGTGCACGGTGCGCACGGCGGCCGGGGCGCGGCACATCACGCTCACCACCAGCTTCAGGCAGGCGTACGCGCGCTTCTGGTAGTGCCCGCGCGCGCGTATCGCCGTCTCCAGCAGACCCGGTCGTTCCTCCGAAATTCCCTATATACGACAGATAAGAAATTGAACAAATCCTACAAATACCTGTCAGCTGTTGTGTGATTACAATAATGTATTTTAAATTCAGAGTCCCCACCGGGGTATGTAGTTTTTCAACCGACGCAGGCTATAGTTAATTGAATTGCCTACCTTAATTGCATTCTGTATGCGAATCTGCTGCCAGCTGTCCTCCAAGAGCAGCAAAGCGGAGAGGGCTTCGGTGTGGCGGCGCAGCTCGTGGCAGTAGGCATACGCCATCTGCCACAGAAGCTCGGAGAGCGCGACCCGCGACCAACCCGCGTTCTCCCAGCAAAGGAACTGCAGCAAGCGCACCCCCTCCTCGCACCCGCAACACTCTTCAGTCAGCTTTTTCACGTACGTACTATACAGAAATTCATAATTTAATTTAATGGCGCACATGTCAAAAAAACAACAAATAGAACATATAGTATTAACTTTTTTTTCTATCTTACTAATATTATAATCTTACTTATATATCTTACTAATATTATATAAATACGAATGTTCAGATAGATGGATGGAAAATTATTTAAAGATATCTCTAGAACGGCTGAATGGATCTCGATGAAATTTGGTATACATATACAACATAGTTGTTCTTCACACATAGGCTACAAATTATTTTTTTAATTCCGCGCGGAGTCACGTGCAATAGCTATTATAACAAAGTATGAATGATACTGACCCAGTCCTGTTGTAGAGCAGTTCGGCGACGACCGGCGATAGCGGGGGCCTCACTGCGTGGGCGTGGTGTGCGGGCAGCGGCTCCCCGTAAGGGTTGGGGAGAGCCTCCTCACCGGCACTCAGAGATTGGCAGTGCATGCTTACGTCGCAGCAGCGCGCCAGCACGCACACCACCTTCACATGACAGAGCGCTTTACTTTGTATAGTAGACGCAGCAATACAAACCACTAACATAACGTTATAAACAAAAGCATAACATTTAAAAGTCAAAAGATTTTTTAATTAGGATTTTTAATTCACTACTTTTTTATATTCTCTGCATTTTATAAACTTACCTGATGCACTTTCGCTGAATCTGGGTATTGATGCTTTCCGGCCGTAACAATATTGTCATCCATGCAAAGCGTTAACACGACATCTAGTATTTTTAACTGCAAAGAAATGATTGATTTATAATAAAAAATGTATATAAAAAAATAGATAAGATGGGAGTTTACTACTCACGCGCAGTAGTTGTTGCTTCTCGTTGTAGCCGAGAACGGCGTACGCGTGGAAGAGATTGAACAGCAGCGGCAGGTTACGGTGCTGGTGCGCATCCACGTGCTGCGGCGCCGCCAGCGCGCGCACCGCGCACATCACCTGGTCGGACAGCGAGCCCGCCTCGTCCGGCGTCGTCCACGACCCCCACCCGCCGCTCACTGCAAATACAATCAACAAAATATTTAAAACTCTTGATTTATATAAAATAAACCAATAGATGAGAAAATTACAATTTTCCTATGAAACCCTTAGATTGAATACAAATGGAATCTTCAAGACTGTGTAGGTCAGGTCACAAATGAATGGACGACAGTCGTGCAAAAATAATATCAGAGAATTGTTATCGCGATATGAGCAGGCATGAATTCAAAATCAACATCTAATTTGATGTTGGCTGTTATTCGGCATATAAGCCAGTTATGGTCCTATAATCTAAAGGAGTTATTTAAGATTTATGCTTTACCTGGCGGGTCTTGAAATGCGAAATGTGCTAGAAATACTAAAATCTTCATGAACACCAGACGTACTTCGACAGAGGGACATGTCAGTAGATAATCGCATAATCTAAAAATGAAATGACATGTAAGATTAATAAAGTAAAACGACTGCAATAAATGACAACATTTTGAAAAGAATATAACCTGTGGGGATATTTGAAGAGATCCCCAGCGAACCACACACGAACAGTTTGGGAACATCGCAAGTGCTGGCACACAATTTCATGCCTGAAACACAAAGTTATTAGTACATCAAAGAATCAAATGCAGCTCTTATTACAATAATAGGATGCTATCCATACCAATCTGAAGCTGGACCCCGCAAGGTTTTCTTTGTATGAAATCCGACTTGGAAAAGGAATTTCGTAGCCAACTGCACAGCCAACATCGACATTTCTTCGTGTTCTTGAGCCTTTTAGATATTGAAAGGTTACATTAAACCTTACATCCCACATTAAACGTACGACCGACCAACTTGTTTCTTTTAAGTAATAATTAACTTACCCATACAGCACTTTGTGACCCCGGCAGCACTTGCAGACGCATGCAGCACAGTTTCTTCATAAAATTGAAATGTTCCAAACTGAACTGGTCTTGATTGTGACAGAACGCGATGTTACTGCGACGTACTGACTGCCAAATCGGTTTCGGAAGGGTAGTTTCTCTATAAGGTTTTATTAATTGTAAGTACCCCTAATCATTTATATAATAATTCACAATAAGTTTTTAATTCATAAGCAGTATACTCACTTGAGCGTCATACTTTTCATAGATTGTTCTAGTGTGGGTGTGTCAATGGTGTCCTTCCTGGTGTAGAATAACATGTAAGCATTCCACCATCTCTTTTGTCTCTTGTATGAAACCCGCTTTACTGCCGAATCAAACACCTGGAATATGAAAGTAAGTTGAAAGTTCGATTCTTTTGAAATACAAGCTATGATAAAATTTACTGTGTTTTTTTAGGAGGTATTCTACAGAGTTTTTTTTAACTAATTAATGATCTTTGACTCAGCTTGCAATTTAAAGTGGAAGTAAAAACTATTGTTGCCTACTTCGCTCATGTACTCGCCGCCGAAGCACTGCGCCTTCATCTCCTCGTCGTCGTGCATGCCGCACTCGGACACGTCGCCGTCGTCCATCTTCACCCACCGACCGCTCTCGCTGCCATTGTCGCTGCATCACATGTTACATTACTGTTATTTATTGACAAGCAAATTTGTTAATCTCAATATATAAACTTCGTTTTTCTATTACGAATTAAAGCTTATAAAAATAAAATAAAAACCATTGTAGAACTTTTTCAAGAGTAAAGATAAAATTAAAGTAAATACCGTAATAAAACATATGAATAGTAATGTCCGCCGGATGCCTGTCCCGAGTGCACCACGATGCCGCTGAGCTGATAATGAGTCTCCGGTGTCTGCTCCTCGCCGCCGTCCCACAGCGTCGCGTCTCCCTCAGCCCGCGCCAAGCCCCACGCTGACACAAGCGTAACAATTATTTAATTTTCATAAACAATAACTATATCTTGTTACTCTTTTGCAATCAAATTAGAATGGAAACAATAGAAAACTATATTGTTACGTAGACATATTCAGTACCTGTGTATGGCTCGACGTCCAGTTCTCGCGGGAACTCGAAATAGTCATTGAATTTGATTGCACACACTTTCTCAAAATCGTATTCGAATCTTTTGAGTTGTATGACTAACACTGGAGGCAATTTGTTAAGACACAGCCTCTTTACTGTTACCACCTGTTAACAAATAAAAAAATTATATATAACATTTTTGAATAAGGTAAAAATATACGGTATTAAAATATTCCTTACCTTTTTACTACATTTATCACAATAATAAGCATCGGCACCTTCTAGCAATTCCCCGCGAACGTAAGCTTCGAGGGATTCCTGTAAGCGAGACATATTTCTGATGTCCAAAGAAACAACGCTAAAAGGTTCCTCTTTGCAATATCTGAAAAAATATATTTCTTTTTATTATAACATATTTTATTTTAACATATTAATGCAATTTTCATTGTTATTTTTAATTCTTAAAACATAACATGTCAAAGCTGTTATCAAGTATGGAATGCAATACCTGTGAGGGCAACCTTTGCAGATTTTCTGGTCAGAATATGTTCCTCCCATAGTTTTAGCCATTAACTGTTCTTGTCCTAACGTCTTCAACGCTTCATCGAGTGATTCTACGAGGGACATGAAGAATTCAACCGCGTCTTGTTGCTCGCGTAAATTAACCGGCTCACCTTGAAGTCTGTAAGCAGAATTAATCTGTTTACCTCTTTTAATCTGCAGTGAAATAAAAATTAGAACAAATTATTACGTACTTAAAATGCGCCCAGAGACCTCTGGGTACGTAATACTGCAATTTGCTATATTGTAGATGTGCAAATATGGCTTGTACTTGTTTTAATATTGTAAGGTTGTAATCACCGGAATTCTGTAAGAAAAAAAAATAGATTTCAGTTAAGTGACTCTCTCGACGAGTTAATAATAATTTAGAAGTTAAATAAAAAAGAAAGACATCGAACCTCAGTATTATTTTCTATCAGACTGTGATGTTGTAAATCTCCAGAAAAATCTTCATTCGGATCTGTAGCAGCTCCTGTTAATTAATGTCCTTTTTTAATAAATTATTTATCGGCATAGAATAATGATAACATCAGGCATTTTAACCGAGCTACAGTCAAAACAAGGGTATCTAAGCCGATAGACGCTGCTTTCGCGGTTAGTTCCGTCAGAAAATATGTAAAACCCAAATGAGCATAAAAGAAAAAAACACGAAATTAAGGATACATTACAAAAATGATCTTATGACACTTTTTCACATTTACAAAGTTGCGTTAGCGATCTGCCAAAATTTAGTTTGACTTTTGCCCATCAATTCCAATGTCCATGTCAGTCTATAGTTGGTAAGGCACAAATCAGTCTTGTATCTATGTGGATAATACAAGAAAAGGTAGGGGAGAGACCTTGCACGGAGAGCAGCACGTCCCTCACGGCGCGCACGCAGTACAGCTGCTGTAGTACGGAGTTCATGTAGCACGTGGCACCCGCGTTCTTCAAACCCACCAGCCCCGCCGGCGGCCGCGGACCCACGCTCGGCATGTACTCCCACTCAGACAGTGGGATGTTCTTATCTAAGATATTAAAATATATATAAAATTTATATGGTTTACTAGATCTGAATCATGGTATAATTCTTTGTGCTGATTTAACAATCCTGATATAGTGATAAAGTTCAAGGGTGGCTACGTAAGTTTGTAGTAACAATGGTAAGTACCACAATAAAACATCATTTCGAGGAGTTGTGCGACGGCCGACATATTTGGCACGCAGCCGTGCACAAGCGCCAGCAGTAGGTCGGCGGCGGCAGTGGCAGCGCCCGGCGTGCGGCACAGTGGCGGTGCCGGCTCGCGGGGCCCCTCGCCGTCTCCATCGCCGTCCGCGTCACCCATTTGGCACCATGCCCAAGAGTACGGCCACAGGAACTCCGTCATCACCTCCTGGAATTATACCGCTCATAAAATTAACCATATTTTACACAGAAATGATAACAGATTATTATATTTTTTTACCTTTATAAGTCCAGCATCTTTATGATCCGGGTGAGCGCCATACTGGAATTTCACTTGGGTTGGAACATGGTTGAACAGCTCTTTGGTTAAATTAAGATGTCCTTCTAAAAGTGTGTCGTCGACCAGTTCCGGATTAGCACGAATCGTGCGTAACCAATTGACCTGAAAGAAAAAATTTAATTCTAAATTTACTTGGACTTAGTCGTATAGTTCATAACAACTTCACAAAAAGGTCTAGTAAATAATAAAAAAAATTCTAAATAGATTACAGATATTAGAAAATAAACAGTAGTAGCTACCTCATATGCTAGATCTTCTCTTGTGCGCGCCGTGGGTCCGGCCAGCGAGACGAGGCGGCATATGAGCTGCAGAAACTGCTGGGCGTGTCGCGCGTGTCGCTGCAACCTCGCGCCGCACGTGCCGCCAGCGCTGAGTACGCCCAGCGCGCCACGGGCCCCGCCCCCTCCGCCCCACGCGCACATCACCAACAGCTGCTCCGCGCACGACACGCGCACCTGCATACATATATACGGTGTCAACAAATGTCATCAACTACGATTTTTTGTTATCACTACGCAACGGTTTATCGCATTTAAACATAATGCATGAATGAAAAAAAAACTACTATTTTTTGTGTATACTTTGATTAAAATGTTCTATACCTGCGCGTTGGGGCAATCTATCATGAGGTAGAGAACACTGTCTTGCCACCAGGCTTCGTGTAGTAACATCTCTAGATGCCCTCCTCCCAGCGCCATGCAAATGGTCACCACCTCCATGCATTCTCGAACCACTGCAAGTAAACATTGAAAGTGTATAAAAATAAACTGTTAAAACTCAATTAAAATTTACCAAACAGCGATATGTAATGGCTATATTTAACGTATTAAAGTTACAAGTGACGTCGTCGGGGTGTACGGCGCCGATGACGTCGAAGGGCTGCGCGACGCAGTAGGCGAGCGTGTAGAGCGCGCGCACGGTCGCTATGGTGGGCAAGCGCCACCACAACAGCGACGTCACCGAGTCGCCCTCGTCACGGTTTGCTACCACCTGATGTTTGTACTGAATTAAACAAATATGAAAACATATTTCTAATTAAGCTACTTTTATTAACAACAAATTATAATACTATTGGGTCTTGTCCAATCATGACCATTACATTTTTGGTACAAATTACAATTATTAGCAAAATTTTAATATTTTAATATTTTAATCTGCTATAATATATTGAAAAGGAATTATACTATTCTATTGGAATGTTACTTAGCATGTCTCCCAAGCCATACAGACTTAAAATCAAATAGTGCTATAAAAAGAGTTTTGCTGTTTTTTTCATTAAAATTACCTGTTGAGCCAACATTTTTGATATTTTTTCAGCTATCGTTTTTACAATCAGTTCACAATTATGATTTGAGACCGTCTGTAGAGCTTCTCGTAAAATTGTAACATCCATTCTGCAACAAAAATATGTATATGGCAGTTTGAATATTTCACAGATTTATTTATTTATTATTATTCTTCATTCATTTATGCATACCTGAAGTCGTTGTCTAATGTAAGATCTGATCCATGGGGAGCTAATATTTCAAAAAGGTGTCCCAAAGTATAGAGTATTAACTTTACTAATCTCACTAATGATAAGTAGCCAACCCTGAAACAAAATACAAAAATATATCAAAAGTATAATCTTGTACAAAAATATTATTTCGCTAAAATATAATAATGTCTAATAATACCTTCTGGTATGAGATGCAGCACCATATAAAAAGTCTTTATCAGATAGGCTGAGCACTAATAATTGCGCCTTCTTGACGCAGGCCAACTGAAAATTGCGACTGCGCTCAAGTCTTGAGTCTGTCGATGGTAACACCATACTATGAAGTACCTACAAGAAAATATAATGAGGAAGATAATGCCATTTAAAATAATATTGTAGGTTTTAAGTGACACATACCTGCATATTATAAGCTACGGTAGGCGGAGCTGGTCCATACAACATATCCTTTAACTTGGAATCATCGCGACAAAGTAAGGCTTCAGTAAGTTTCTCAACCTAAAAGTTAATTTATTTATTGAAAGTAAAAGAATGTGAATTAAATCCTTAAAGATTCAAAGTTGAGTTAATACATACAGTTTGCTTGTGCGCAGGGCATATTTGGGAGATAAGATGTGCAGCTTCTGTCAACTGTGCATGTTTTTTAGTGATGCCAATATGTTCTAAATCTAATATAAACGGCAGGTACCAGGATCCTTGTGCGAACAACTGAAAAGTAAATTAGTTACTATGTGTACATTTGTAGTTGTAACCAAATATATAAAAACCATGCATCTAATAACTGAACTGATATGTATTTTGAATAATGTTTTAATCAGAACTTACGACACCAGGCAGCGCGTGTTCTGGAGTAGGCGTTGAGGGTGGTGATGAATTACTGGAATCGCTGCTTGACTCATTCGAAGAACCGCATCCACCACTTCCGCACACCGGTCCATCATACACCTTGAGAAAATAACGTATCATTAGAAAATTAAATTTTTGAAACAAGAAAAAAAAGAACTTGATTATATTCTTACCTTAGCTACAATCACTGTCTTGTCTCGTAGTGGAATTTGTGATAAGGTCTTCCTGTCATGAGATGAATCTAATATCTCACCATTGACATATAATTCAATTTTATTAATATACATTTCTAATTTCATATTACTATCTGCAGAACATTTTACCCTGAAATAAAAATAGAATACACTCATATAAAATAAATGCATTTTAAAGCCAAATTCATACAATTTCAAGTATATTACCTTCTTTGTACTGCAGACCTCAAAGTGTGTAGTGTTTCATTAGAATGTGAAATTAGCTCAATGTCGTCAATTTGTCTTTGACCAGTTTGAAAGTTAAATCTGATTGTAATAGTGCACTGGCGACCTCTGCCAGACCTGTAGATCGGTATTATTTGTCGGTCTGCGGAGAATCTTCTATCACATTCATTTATATATTCTTGTATGGCACGAAGTACTCTACACATTTTTGTACAAATTGCAGTAACATCTGAAAACAAGTTGTTAGTTGTAGATCTTGCTGTTTTCATTTGCACTTCCATTCATAGGGAGGATGGAAACAATGCGTGGACAATGAGTGTTTCATTGAACTTTACTTGGATGACCACTAGCAATTATTGCTATTTCAACCTGAGATTATTCGTTGTTGTCTCATTTTTTTTTATAACTGGCACTGGATATTCAATTTTACAATTTTAGAAAAAAAAATATTAGTCTCTATTTTAATATGTGCGATGTGCAATACCATGTTGTGAGTCCATCTCCTTCTGCAGGCGCTGCGTGCGAGCGCAGCACTGGGTGAGAAATGACTCGTGGTGATGCGCCGGCGACAGCTGAGGACCCGCGTACGTGCACACCTCGCGCAGCAGCTCGATGCCGCGGTTCGATATATCGTCATGGCATTCCGTTATCACCTACAATATTACACCATAAAAATTAAAAATTTAAACTAACAGATAATCAAACAATAAAAATGCCAACATGTACAATGCTTACCCTCCATAAATAATCTAAGCCTATGAGATCAGCGTCAATTATTAAAAAACTACGTCGCTTAATTTTAATTTTTCCTTCTTTGGAATTAACAGCTTTAAAAAATCTGTAAACAAAAACAATAAGTTAAAAATATTCTTTAAATATTAATGTTAACAGTAATAATTACCAACTTGCCTTTCAAAACATTTGATACCCGCATGAGTTAGTACATTGGGAGGCAATGTCATTATATTCTTTCTAAAAAATTGTAGATTGATATTTGGATCTAAATCAGGTTCTTCTCCCATCAGTTTGCTAAACCATCTAAAACATGCCTCCCGATCTCCAAGATGCGCTGGATTTTCTGCAAGGCATGTCCATATTTGCTTGGCCTGAAATTAAGTTCTTATTTGAAACAATTCTTTAATATTCGATGTGTAAATGTAGCTTGTTAGTTGTCGTTATACCTGTTCAGCACATAACCAAAGCTGGCCATCTTTAAGTAAAAATCTAAGAAAACCCAATCGTTCGTGAACTTGTGCCGCATGAGGATACCTGCCGTCGGGTAGCCAATTATCCCAGTCGATGGATCCCTCCTCTAAAAGTCAATAAAACAAATGTCATAGAGTTACAAATATTCCATACTTACGATTTGAATGGAATGTACCAACCTCGAAGTTTCTTCCGCACGCGATCCAAGTAATGTGTAAGGGAGTTTGCGACCAGTATGACTAGAGAGTGCTGCGTCTGCAGGCGGTCGATGAGCTCCTGGCGCGTGACATGCGGCCGCACGCCCGTGCCGCCGCCAGACTCGTACAGGCAACATATCTCGCGCATCATCTTCAACGCTGGCAAAACCCATTTCTCATTGTTCTTTAACTCTCCCACACATCTAAAATAATTCACAATTCACCAATTTTGTCATCATAAAAATGCATGATTAAAGTAAAATTAAAATAACAATGTATTCTAACTTATCGAGCCAAAGGGTCTTCTGTGCATCTCGGTCCTGACTACAGCTGTAATCCAATATCTTGTTGAGGTTAACCAATGCTACGTCCATTATCTCGGTGCAAACATCATCTGAGTGAGCTAGGTTCCAAAAAAGTACTAATACCTATAAAAGTAAATGATTATGATTACTCTTGTCCTTACAAAACAATTAAATCTTTTATTTTGTATACAATACCTTGTTTGCCATAACACCATCCTTATCATCTTCTGCTAGTCTTCTTATAACTTCTAAAAGCTTTTCACTTTGTTTCTTACTTGATGTCGCCCAACTTGCCTGAATATTTGTTAAAATTGTCAATAAAATTTAATATTTAACAAATAACCTATATATTTAAATCATAAATGGCATTATTGTGTGTGAAATTAACTTAAATTTTAACCATTAATATTAAGTGACAATAGAATTAACGATGAAATATGTTAGAATCTTACAATATTGTTTGATTGTATTTTTATTTTATTGATACTAGCCTTAAAACAATCAAAAAGGTGGTCCAGTTGATCCGGAGTAAAGTCCCACGCCAGCTTTGCTAGAAGATCATGTAAATTCTTTACAATAGCTTCATGTTTGCCCAGCTGAGCCCGCCATATTGCATCCAAGTCTTCATTGGTTAAAGCATTTTCTTTTATCAAAAATCTTAACATTTTTTCTAACCTCTCTACATACTGTGGCTGATGTAGTGAATCTCGTAAAACTATGTCCACTACTTTGTTCTCTCGAATCCAATTCTACAACATGTGATTATGTTTAAAAAAAATAGTTGAAAATAAATTTATCAAATTATGTGGAGAATATTTCTTACAGTAACAATTGTTGGTGTAAGCCATTCTGGTTTTGGTTGCTGTGATATTGTACTTATAAGTTGATTAATTTCATTTAGTGCTGACATCTTTCCATTAAATGATGACATCAGAAGTAATCTCAAGATCATTTTCAGTCTGAACATTTCTAATGCTGAAATTAAAACATGATTATTATATTCAATTGCCATATTCCAAATAAAATTATCTATACATAGATGTTCTCATATAACTACACATTACAATACATATAAAAAACATGTAAACAATAATAAATATAAGTTGCACATAAAATCACAGAGTTAATAACAGAGCAGTGATGATGAGTGGTCACAGTTACATACTGTGTAGCAGCACAGGGGTGGACACAAGACTGCGCCCCTAAGCAGCTACAGGGTGTGCAACTAGACCTAAGCTGTATCTTCACTTTCTTTTCATTCTTGACCTTTTCTGTTACACATGCAATTCCCTGTAATATTATCTTATCAAACTTCATAAAAATCTTAAGTTTAGTTCCATGTCATCTTTTGTTTTTAAAGTATTTTTTTTCTAAATATGTAACATTAATAATGGGAAATGTAAGCAAATGAATTACAACAATCATAATACACAGTAACAAGACAAGAAAGAAATCAATATGAACCAAAAACCTATAAGGCAATTACAATTCTTTTTCTGTTGAATAAAGGTATTCTCTAAATGCCTACAAAACTATCAATCCTACTCTTTCCACATCCAAATATTTTTCATTTTCTCTGAAAGTCCAATTTCAGCCATATTTACCAATAATTATAACAAACTTTTTATTATAAATATTACCATAAGACCCTATATATCATTATTATAATGAATATATATACTATATATAAAGACACATAATCTGTCAATTGAAATTGAACTTTTGATCTTATTAAAAATATAAGAAAACTTACACTTTAACAGGTTATGATGTTGGGGTATCTTCATTAGCAGACATTTGCAAGTTTTAATCAGACATGAGACACTATCTGTTTTATTTTCTGAGGCTCTGCCTTCCCTTTTCAATTCATCATCAGTAAGACTTTCCAACATTGTAGGTATGCATTCCTAAATGAAAATGGTTAGTTTGATTATTATAGTTAATTTACATGTACATATTTTGTTAACAGTAACAAAAAAATGTTTAACACTTACAATGATGGGTAAGAAATAAACTGTAATTGTATGTGGTGTCAGTAAGTCATAACATAGACTGAAAGGTCGCAGCAGTTGCCACACAGCAGCCACTCGAGTCTCCACACTCATTGACTGTTCCAATGATGAATATGGTTCACTTTTAGAAGATATTGTACTCTATAAACCAAATAATAAATTAATCAATAATCTAATTCATAAACAAAAAAAATAATTATTGCCAAATAAAAAGGTCATAAAAATTTACCTCTGTTATTTCTGAAGTTAATGGCAAAGTTTCTGTAACATCTACCTTATTGTTTTCTTCATATTCTTGTGTTTCTGTTATAATTTTTTCATCATAATTTACAGACATTGTTAGTTCAGACTTTTGATACCCCATTATAGATTCAAATCTTTCTCGTAGTTTCTCAAAACCACCAGCTTGACCAAAGCTATAAACAAAAAAAATTTAAAGTACAAGTCTTGAGTTTCATAAAACCCAGTCCATAAGATTTTAATATAATTGATAGAATTTTATAAATCATGGATATCACCTCCTCACTTAAATAGGTTTATCAATGCTCTTCTTCATGTATCTGAACACTTTTTCTAAGACCTACTGTTTTTGAAGTATAATCATGCAATATGTACCTAAGAACACTTCTAAGTATTTTAAAACTTACACATTAATAAGATGGACCAGCCATCCACGAGGGGCACGGTGATCTTGCGATCTTGCAAAAATTTCTGGTTCCTGACCAGAGCCTTGGCCCGAATTGCAAAGGTTTGTAACTGCCAAACCTTCACAGGTCCGAGACACATTAAATGTGTGAAATCTAGGTGAAATAAACATTATGTAAATTATATAATTAAAACAACAAGGTAAAACAATAACAAAATAAACACATACTTGTTACTTGGATTAAACGCCATAGACAATAAATGTAGAAATCTTGGATCGTCTAATTTCATGGCACATAGCTTCACTAGTTTCTCACAATTAGATCTGACACACTGCTGTATATTACTTTTCCAAGAAGCCACCGCATCATCTGTTAGGATCTTAGTAAATGCTAGAGTAAGAGCATCATTGTAAAATCTCTGACAATAAGGATTATTTACATCTTCACCTGGAAAATAAATTTTAAAAACATTAACTATTAACATACTGTCATAGATTTTCAAATTACCTTTTTAACTAATAATTAAAACATACCACTGACAGCCAGCTCAGTAGCAGCCAAGACAAGTGTTTCTAATTCTTGTTCAGGTAAAACTGGTACAACCCAACGTGGATGTGTTATTTTTTCTTCTAGAGCTTTAAGGTCAGCCTCGGGGAATGCCATCTACATAAACATAAAAAATTACGATGTGTTATATTATTTATACAATTATAATATAAGAAACTATTAGGAAACCACTTACCTCCCCGGGCATTTCTTCTTGTTCTTTCATTGAAATTGTCATTATTTTTTCATGTCTCTATTCATTGCCGCTTCTAGAAATGGATTTACAATTATTTTTTTACTTTCTTAAGCACTTGCATATCAATAATGAAAACAATATAATGTAACAGTAATTAATATCAATGTTATTTACTATTTCATTTAATTGAATAGTACAAAATTAATTACTGATTCTTTGGAAAACATTGAATTATTTATATTTTCTCATCGGCATTCGTAATAATTTTATGCATCTCTTTTGTATACATCTTGATAATTTCATGGGATGGAGTAATAAGTTAATTGTGACGTTACTTCAAATTTATTATGAATTGAATATCTTAAATCTACACTGCGCAAAAACGTGATTTGACTGTTCTTCTCCTGGATTATATACATATTTGGTAATCCTTAAATACACAGTATATTATTACAAATTTTAAAAAATCTAAATTGATTATCAAATGTTGGGAAGAAAACATAATCGATAATTTTGCAGAGACGATTTAGAATAAAATAACGATCATTTTTAGATTCTTCACACTACAAATTAGTCAATTTAAATGTATTCATTTTAACATACCGTTTAACATGTAGTTTTATAAGGAAAAGAAACAAATTCAAAATATATTTCGGATCAGCCGGCGCGACAAAATGGCGTCATACTTCTAAACAAGGCAGATTTACAAAACAAATTTTTACAAGTGTAGGAATACCAAAGCAGACAAGAATATATTGTACATATAAAGAAAATACATTTCTTACCTTCATCAAACGATTAATTTACGAAAAAGGAATTGAAATTAAAAATACAGTGCAAGACACTTTTTGACGTATGAACGAAAATAGATGATGAAAAATATATTGATGAAAGATAGAAGATACAGCCACAGAGTGCTTACATTGTAAAGGTATTGGACACAGACACTGACCTCCACGATATATCTATGAATACAGATATTTTCATTACTTGATAATTACTCACCTTTACGCACCGATAGAGTTCTGCTTATCGAAACATTACAAACATGTAAGCTATTTAAAATTATGCAGGTGTTACCGATATTTCATTTTCTAAAAATGTTATATGAATTATATATAATAGAGATTTGAACGGTCCGCAACATGATTTGACTATCAGGGTAGGAATCGGACCCTAAAATGAAAATAAAATATAATATTACAAAAGATAAATTGTAGCGTATTTAAAATTATATCTCAAATACCTAATTGTTAAATATCGTAATCGTAATTTGATCTTTGGTTGATATTGACAAATTTCTTTCTCAACTTTGATTTGATGTGGATGTCAAAGTCCGATTTAGTTTTGAACTTAATATGTATTATTGTATTACTACTAAATTAATTGTTATCATTTGCGTAGTCTTAATTTTTGTATAATAGTTTTACCTAAATAGATATTTTAGGTTATCCGACAATCTGTAAATATATAGTGGCAGTTGTAAATAAGAAGTCGTACTTCAATAACACTATGAATCCCAAGAGTCCAGAAGCCAGAAAACGTGAAGGAAATCCGTTTGATGGTCTCATTATCGAAAATACAGAAATTCTTGACAATGTCGAAAGTAGAAGTGCCTGTACTATCTGTGGAAAATCACGAATGTATTTTTGCTACACTTGTTTTGTTCCCGTTTCGCAGTTAGCCAGTCGTATCCCTATCTGTGCTGTAAGATGGCTACTTAATTTTTTTCGTATGTACTTGTTATTTCTTTTTATTTGTTAACGTTTAATACAATTTTTTCAGTTACCAATTAAAATTGATATCATTAAACATCGTAGAGAAATTGATGGAAAAAGTACTGCCGCACATGCAGCCGTATTAGCGCCTGGTCAAGTTCGTGTTTTTACTTATCCAGAAATACCTGAATATGACATCAAAAATGGCAAAACAGTTTTACTATATCCTGGAGCAGAAGCTGTTCCTGTATCCAATCTATTTTCCGGAAGACAACCTTTAAATACATATTCTCAAAAACTACTTTCACAATTACCCCCAGGGTATAATGTAGGTACTTTAATGACAAAAACATTGGAAGAAGTAGAAAACTTAGAAATATATCATGTAAGCCAATGGCCAGTTGACCGTGTTATTTTAATAGATAGTACATGGAATCAAAGTCGTGGTATATATGCAGATGAAAGATTACAAAAATTACCTAAAATAGTGCTAAAGAAGAGACCATCACAATTTTGGCGACATCAAAAAGGAAGTCCTCGTTGGTATCTTTCAACAATTGAAGCATTACATCAGTTATTATTAGAACTGCATTTATGTGCATGGGGTCGCAGTGAAACATATACATCTCATCTCACTTTGCAGTATCCAATACATAGGCCACACAACAATGACTCTTATTGTGTGCCTTATGCTGGCCAGTATGACAATTTACTCTTCTTTTTTAAATTTTTGTATGAAAAGCTACACAAACTTTATGATTCAGAAAATTTGTTAGCATATAAGAGACCTATGACATAATTTTTTTTAATTATAAAATTACAATGTGAAAAAAAGTATTTCGCATAATTATTTAACAAGTCTTACACCTCAACTAGCTAGTTCAAAAGTTACTTAACAACAAAAGCAATATTACTTCTGTTGCTAATATTAGCAGCACTCATTCACACAAATAATCCTAAATGGGGAAGTGACATGTCTTTCAATCTGCTGAATTATTGAGCCATCAATGGGTAAGGATAATTTTTCTTAAATTAAAAGATTTACATAAAAGCACGGCCAGATTTAATACAAATGAAAATCATTTATGTTTTATCATTAAAACTAAAAATGAACATTATATTTTATATACATGTATACCATATACCATTTTTGATTAATTTAGCACTAAAATAATTTTCGGAAAATTATACATGTTAGTATTGTTTATTAAAAAATTTTTACATCTCTTTCTAAGAGGAAAATTCATTGATTGCAATTGCAATATTTCTATTTAAGCTCTTTTCTGTCATGGTCTTATTGTGTTTTAAGTTAATTAAAACACATGCCCAATATCAAAATAACAACTTAATTTGATGATTTTAATATGTGTAATTAAATGTTAATTACCAACAACTATCTCTTTGTAGCATATCATGTAAATTATTAAACATTATTGTTATTACCACATACAAATAAGATTCATATTTAAGTTACATAAAAATAGATCAAGACTGAGTTTATAATATTTATAAATTTATCATTTTCATAGTGTATAAAACAGAGTTTATAAATCTTTTAACTTGGCTACTTATCTACTGTATTGTAAATGTATGATCATAATTCAAACTAGCAAACCTATTATTACTTTTAAGTTATTTGAATCTACATCATTTAACTGTATATATCTCAAATAATATTTCTTTTAAATCTACATCCACAGTAACCAATGTATTATTACTATTTGTTTACAATTAACTCCTAGACATTAATATTTCATAAAATTTCTTAATATTAAAATTAAACCACATAAGACCAATAAGTCACTGTTTTCAATAATGTTATTACTACAATCTTATACATGATTGTTTACCTTTTGTTTTCTTAATGGTGTAAAGTATTAAGGGTTTGTTGTAACCTTTAATAGTTTACATCATTCTGCATCTGTTATAGCTTGCGCAAATCTAACACGAAGACATTTCCGTCACTAGCACTAGCTCCAACTTTAGTGCCTCGGGAATTCCAGCAAACTTCAAAAATTCCTCCTGTTCCTTTGTATGAGTGGACCAGGCTGCCGGTTTGAGTTGACCATATGTGTACACATTTATCAAATGATCCACTGGCCAGGAATTTCCCATCAGGTGAGAAAGCAACACTATAAACAGGCTCTGTGTGCTTTGTTAGTGTATGTATGCAGACACCTCTTTCAACATCCCACAGACGAACAGTGGAATCAAAAGATGCACTTGCTAGAATTAAATTCATATTAGGATTTTGTGTGCTTGGTCCAGTTGGAGACCATTTTATTGTGTATATCTCTTTAGAATGTGCTTCCAAATCATGAACACAGGTATCCTGCTTCATGGACCAAATCTTTAAGGTCTTGTCATCTGAACATGATGCAAGTAACTGTCCTTGTGGATCCCATTTAATAGCATTTACCTCATTCTGTAAGAAATAAACATGTTACTAACAATACTGTTGTTAATTATTTAGTTTTTATCATCCAAATAGTTGTAAATACTAAATGAATGTTGATACTAAATTATTTTATAATTTAAAATACACACATTATTAGAAATAAGAACCAAAGATTAGTCTTATTTATATCCTATTTTATTATTCTAATGCTGTTTAAATTATTACATTTAATTAGAATAACAAAGATGACTACAAGTACTTACAGTGTGCCCTTGAAAACTTTTGATTGGTTTATCCACATGCAATCTACACACATGGATACATTGATCAGTAGAACAAGATGCAAAAGAATTGTTCGTCTGCCAATCTACATCAAGGGCTGGCGCTGAATGGAAAGAAAATTGTTGAGTGCATTGTCCTGATGCTGCATCCCAAATAATTGTAGTTTTATCAACCTGAAAATGATGAAGAATATAATTTATTAAGTTTTTATTTCATAGTACAATTTTTATATTATTTAAATTGAATATGGTACCCCTGCACTCAAAATGTAATTTCCTCTTTTGTTCCATTTTAAAGCAAATATTGGGCCCTTGTGCTGTCCCAGTGTAGAAGCTAAGGTACCATCTGTAGCCCAAATTCTGGCATAGCCATCATATGATCCTGTAGCCAATAGGTTTCCATCACACTGAAATAAAAAATATTTTTCAGACCATGTATAAAACATCTATTTATAAAAAATAAATTGTTCATACAATATGATAATATGTAGACTATTAATATCCCACTTACATTCCAATCTAATGATGTAACATCCTTATTACTTGGCACCTCTGCACCTCCTTTCTGAATACAATGTCTTAATACCAGTTGATTTGGTGTTGTAGCTGGGTTGTCTGACATGTCCCATATCCTAAAAAGTATAATTTAACATTCAACTATCTGTTTCATTAAAGTGTGATTTTACATACATGACTAAATTTACAGAGTTTTACATGTAACTTTTGAAATGACAATATTACATTTAAAAAAAATACCTCGCTGTACTATCACCAGAGCCACTTGCCAATAAATCTGTACTCGGATTCCATGCACAAATAAATACTTCAGATTCATGACCGCTCAGTACAGTTGCTTTACTGGCTGGAATTTCTATCGATTGATCAACATCCATAGTCTCAGGAGCACTTGGTGTTGGTACCCCAGTCGGGGTTGGAGCAGCGCTGCATGTAGTTGTCTAAAATAAACATTGTCAAAACATTTCAAAGTTTTGAGTTCTTAAGTTTTATTATCCTTTTGCAACTCTCAAACATAAAAAACCTTCAATTAACATGTAATTCTATTTTGTCAAAGAAAATGAAATGGATACTAGTGTCATGGCTGGGAAGTTCTATAGTAATACATATAGAAAAATTTAAATCCATTGTGTGGTACACACAGAAAACAGGCGTGAAGTGGAAGAAATTCTGCGTTTCGTCTGATGAGTGTGCGTCCCGGAGGCCTATTTTAATCCTCTTTCCCTTCCCATCCTTTTCTTTATAAAGGATGGGAAGTGGAAGTGGACTTTCCGGATGAGAGGGTGCATGGAAAGGGTAGATATTTTCTTTCTGTGCATCCTCTCCTCCGTCGAGTAAAGGTAGTCAATGCATATGCAATTGCGTATGTCTATGGGCAACGGTCACTTCGCTATTTCAGTGATTACAGGTGGCCGCTCGCTCGTTTGCCACCTTTTGATATAAAAAATTAAAAAAAAACATATCTCAACCTATAAATGAGTATTTCCTGTCTTATTGTGTTCAGCACATACACTATCGAACTTACACCTATTTGCATACCATCATCATCTTTATTGCAGTTGTTTGACCAAAAATAGAAAAGATTTTAAATAGGGATTACACAAAAAATCCTCTCAAAACCATGGAGAACAATCAAAATATGTTAAAGCTTAAGATATTTTACATTATATGTATGAAAAATGTATATAACTGATGACGAACACAGAGCATTAGAGTATTTCTTTTACCAAATAAACTTAGCTTTCTTTTTATCCTTCAATAAATGAAATCAACACTTAGTGTATAAATATAACCTATTATAGACCCTATCAATTTCATTTAATGATACTTAAATCTATTTAACTAGAAATACCAAGAATAAAAAAGATAATTACCGTATCCGTTTTGATACATACATCAACGCCATTCTGTTCACCACCTGAACTTGGTTCTTTAATGGCTTGCTTTTGAGCATTGTGAGCATTTTGGCGATTAGCAACTGCATCAGGTGTGACTGCATCGATTAAGCTTAAGCTTTCTGTGAGTCTGGTTTCAGTGCCTGAAATAATGACATATCAATTAAAAGTTGAATAACTCAAAATGATGATTTTTTTTGTGGTCAGTAAAATATACCATTTTCTCCTATAGTTATTTCTGCTTCTGTATATAATAAACCTTTTTGTAAAATATTAAGCAAAGCTGCCGGTGGCACGAGGGCACCATTGATGTTACTCTGAGAAATATGAGACTCGATGCCAAATGTATATGCAGAATGGTGAAAACCTGTAAGCCAAATTTACATGTTATTAACCAATATAAGTTGCAAAGAAACATATAGCAAATATGTAATAAGAATTGATGGTGGCGTCCAAGCAAGCATTGATGACCAAACAGACCTGATTCTTGTAAATAACGGTAGACAATAAAGTTAACTTCGTCGATTGAAAAACTCATTTTTTACTTAACATATATTACACACTGATATATAGTAACTAACTTCGTGTTCATTAATTCATATTATGTTTCATGATAAATCTAAATAACAACACAGCATTATATTATTACAGGGATTTATAGAAACGCATAGAAAAATGAGAAAAACGAGATAAACTGAAAACTACAGATTCAAAAAAATGAAACAGACAACATTTCTCTAGGAAGAGACACTGATTACAGATTAGGTAGACATTTCATAGTCATGTGGCATTGAATCTGTTACAATTTTCAACAAGAGTTATTAAAATTGGACACAAACCAACTTTTGCTGAATTAGGCTAATACAGAGATTAGGATATTACAGAAGACATTTTTAGCACTGTTCTAGAAATCCATTGTAAAATAACTTTGACGTTGCATATAAGCTATAACCACTATAACCATTAATCTCCATATGGTCCAATTGCTTCTTGGAAATGATGATTTTTGCATTGTTCCTACTTAAAAGCGCTTGTGAAAATGATACATTTTGCATACAGTTAATTATGTCTCTATTATTAGTTAGAATCCTTTAAACCATTTCCTTCAATACCATTCGCATCAGTCAGTGACAAAAAGACGAAATCAAATAGGCATAAAATGCAACGGTTCTTAGCCTATCCATGTTTAGAGGTCAGTGTCACTGTTTCACTCACTGCTCTTTGATATTGTGACATACTCTTCGATATTTATCGTTTCATTTCAATTTTCAATCTTTTATAAACAATAAATGGTTTAAATTAGACAATTGGTTGGTATTTGTCTTAATGGACTAAATTAAATGTTTTAAGGCAATGAATAGATTTCTAAATATTAACAATGGATTCAATTTCAAGTAATTTAACAATTCTTTTGAGACAATTGTGCGAAGAATTGTCATCCGCACCAGGTTTGTTTCTTTTTTCAAATTTTTTGAAAATAGCTAAATTTTTCTCTTTTTGGTGAACGTTTTTTTATATTTATGAATATTATCAGCGATTATTTTAGAGACTACGTATATAAGAGAGGCTTAGTATAATCTTACTAAATTGTGTACTATATTATTTTTGTTATGAAAACGCATTTAAATTCGTAAGCGTGTTAGCTTACAGTACAGCTGTATTTAATCGTGATTGGTTTCAGATAGACTTTCTTTTCTACAAGTCTATTAACATAATAATTACAATATATAATTAGTAAATAATTATTTTAAATACTCAAATAAATATGTTATAGATGCCGCTTATGAATTAGCACTCTCATATTTGACCTCAACTAATGGAAAAGGAAGAACAGTTCAAGATGAGAGGTTGTTGTGTCAAAAAATATACAATCGTCTTGCAAGCATCTCTGCACAAGATGCAGATAAATTCACTGAATCTTATGCAAAACTCAAAAACTCTGTAAGCATACTGAAAAATTGTAATTTTTTTTTCAAAAACATGTTTTAACTTTAGACATTTTCATGATTTAAATTTTTTTAGCTAATTTTAAAGCAGCGAGTATCAATTTTGTCACTCCTAATGTCTCTCTCAGACACTTCTCACCAAAATGAATCTACTCAACAACTGTTCCCTGTGCCTAATCTTGCTATAGCTGTAAGTATTACTCTATTTAAACACTTATTTTAATATGAATTGACCACACCTAATTTTTTGTCGTGTAGTCCATTTTTTTTTTGGGAAATCCTAAGTACTGTAATATCTTTATTGAAAGGTATTTTAACAATCTGTTTACTCATATTTTAGAACATTTGTACTGGATCAAGTAATAGTAAAAGTACAATTGGATCAGTCAGTTGGAGCAGTAATGTGTTAAAACAAGGATCAAACCAAAGCCTTCCTGAAGACTACAGTAATGCTGCAATTGTGTTGCAGTCCAATGGTAATCAATAAGTCAATACTAGAAAATGAATAGAAAAAGTTCTTGGAATTTATAGTATTGAAGAATGTGCTCCAATTACTGATTAATCCTATAAGGCTTATCAATTTTCATGGGTCAAAGTCGAGAACAAAATACACTTGTATTATCAGGACCGGACATGGACAAGACTCACTTATTTACTTGTATAACAGTTGTTGACATTTTGCCATTTGAAAGCTACATTATCACTAAGTAACATAACATATATTTTTCACTAATATTTTTTTGTAATTCAATGATGATGAAGTGATGGGCAAAATCTAAAATATTAATATTTATACAGCACGACCAAACGAGCGCGCATGTGTCCGTGACGCTGTGTTAGCTGCGACGGGTGTGCGGACGCGCAGTGCAGTCGGAGTGTCTCGACCAATACAAATGTTGTACTCCCGCATTGCACAGTTAGGATTTCTTCACGACCGGCTTAAAGAATTCATTGACCCATCTTCTGGATTAATGCCGCAGGGTAATAATAGCAAAAATTTAATTTAGAAGTCGAGTTTACTTTTTCTAGTTACATTTGTTGGTTACAATAGTCTGTTTTCAGGTTTAATGGGCGAAGGATTAGTTTCATCTATACGAGATGAACTTACAGAATACTATCGTAGCATTGCCTTGTTACAATCACAGGTTAAGTATATATTTTTGTCTGAAAATGATTTGCAAATGATTGTTTTGTGTATATGATAAAATAAATTGTACACACTGTAATGTTTTGTTGCAAACAGGTATGTGAAGGCGAAGGTGGTGGAGGTACTTTGCGTCGCGTGTGCGTGTGGGCACAGGAGCCTTTACATCGGCTCACCTGGTTAGCCAACATGGTTCATACCGCACATCACAAGAAAGGTAAGTTATAAGGAAAAATTACTCATTATTATTTTTCTTATTTCATCCAATTTACATTATATTGGTCTTGGTCCCTCGAGCCGGATAATATTATAGACAGCTAAATATCTCTTGTTAATAATAATATTTATATATGAAATTGCAGTGTGTATTTAATTTATTATACTTAATATTGTTGTTTAAAGGTGGTGAATTAGCATCATGTATTCATCGGTTTGTGGGTCATGGAGACGAGCGCGTTGCTACTCTTGCCCGACGTCTTCTAACTGCGTTGACATATCCACTGCTGCTCATGCTAACACGGTGGCTTCTTCACGGTATACATTAATATATATTTTTATTTCCTATTACGCATTACCTATAATTTTACACTAAAATTATTAATATATTGTTTTAGGTGAAATCGAAGATAACTTTAACGAATTCTTTATTGAGAGCAGAAACGGCGTACCGATAGACAGAATGTGGCATGATAAATATAGAGTTAGGTAATTAAACATTATATTGCATTTGGATTATGTTTTTCTAATACTGTATTTATATATTTTACTTCACAATGTACATGTTTGTGATGTAAGGAGTAAATGTGTACAAATGGTTTTTATTGGGTACAGAGAGTGGATGGTGCCGTCGTTCATGGCGCGCGAACAGGCGGCGCAGATCCTGGCGACGGGCAAGAGCGTCGTCTTCATGCGGGAAGCGTGCGCAGACGAGCTGGGCCCCAGCGACCACGCCCACCATCTTCAAGCGCTGCTCAAACCACACAACGGTATGAAATACACATTATTCTACTAAATTATTGCAGATGTTCATTGCCAGTATTTCATTTCGCTCGTAAGTAATTAAAAATATAGCTTTTAAATACGTTTAGCAGTGTTACTATTGTTATATAATTTGTAGGAATGGGTGGGGAGGGTGCGGAGCGGGAGTGTGGGCGAGCGTGGTGGGAGGCGGAGGGGCTACGCGCAGGCGTGGCGGCGGCGCACGCGGCGGCGTCGCAACGGCTACTCAGCGCACTCATCTCGCACCATCACCTGCTGGACCACCTCGCTGCGCATCGCCGGTACCTGCTGCTGGCGCAGGGCGACTTCGTACACCATCTCATGACTCTACTGCAGTTAGTATATTTGCCTACATTTTTAAAGAATGAATAAAGCATCTACACAAGGTATGGTAACACATTCGTATCTTTTCTTTGTGTCTCGAATTTCGTATTCTATTTTGTATGTCAGTGATTGTGAACAATTAAAATCGTTGTTTTGTTTCAGGGAGGAGTTAAACAAGCCAGCGAGCTCCCTCTACGTGCACAACCTGACGTGCACGCTAGAGGCGGCCGTGCGCGCCACCAACGCACAGTTCGAGCCGCCGCACGTCCTCTCGCGTCTCCATGTCAATTTATATCCTAATTGTATGTACAGCGAAGCGTACATTGCAAAATTGCAATTGCAATCACGATTTATTTACTTAACGAAATGTGAACTGTTTGATAACACATTTGTAATCTTATATATCTCGTGAAATTCAATATAAAATCTATTATAAAGTTTGTAATAGTAGGATGTTTTGACTGTTAGGCGACGGTCGCGAGGACAGCGGGTGGGACGTGTTTGCGCTGCAGTACCGCGTGGATGGGCCGCTGGGCACGCTGTTCCCGGCGACTTGCGCGGCACGCTACAGGGCGCTGTTCGCGCAGCTGTGGCGCGTCAAGCGCATTGAGCACGCGCTGCACCGCGCCTGGCGCGATCACATCATACTGCACAAGCGTCTCAAGTACATGCCCGGTCAGTTCAGCCACCACATAAACCATAACATATGACATACATATTTATTATCTACGCCCTATAGTTTTATCCGTTATTAAATTGTATAATGAATGCAGAGGTGTGGGGTCTAATGCGTCGGGTGTCATGCTTGCGCGCGGAGGCGTTGCGGCTGTGCGGCGCGCTTCAGGAGGCGAGCTGCGTCGGCGCGGAGCCCGCGTGGGCGGAGCTATTGGCCGCCGCCGCCAGCGGACACCACCTGGACTCGCTACTGCGTCTACACCACAATGCGCTCGAGAGGCACTCCATACACGCCATGATACACCACACCACACAGGTACTATAACGTCACATTCACACTGGCGCTTTCACTTACTTAATGTTTGAGGGTTTAACAATAAATGATTAGTTGGAACGCTATATCTGAGTTTTGTGTAAACGCGGCTACCGTTTCTGTAATACTGTACCTTTGATAAGTTAATATATTTATTCAATTACAAAAGGAGCTGCAGTCATACCTGGGTAATGTGTTGAACGAGACGCTGGCACTGCGCAGCTTCGAAACAACGCTGCACGCCGGCATCCGCGCGGAGCTCGACCGCCGCGACCGCATTGAACAACTCAAAGCGGAGAAACTCGCCAGAGGCAAGTGGAAATAAATAAAACCTGTACGGTTAGGGCTTATAAGCTACATGTTTTATGATAAGTCTTTGTATCAAAGATTTTCATGTATTTTGAGAATCTTACTAATTTTCTTCCGATTCAAAACGTAAAGTTAATATTAATTTTCAGGAGAATATGCATTTACTGCAGCAGATGAAGTGCAAGATAAAGAAAAAAGAAAAATATTTCTCCAGTTCCTAGCGAACAGAAAAGCCGATTTAAATGTATGGACTCGGACATACAGGTAAAACAAAGTAAATGCCAAAATCAAGAAAATCTCAATTTTGTTTTTACGAAAAGTGTGACATGCTTATTGTAATTTAATGTAAAAAGAGGAATTGCTTATTCTGTAACAAATAATTACTATACGTATTTTCAGGGGTCATGTGACAACTTTGATTCTGAAGTTAGCATTGCATGCAGAAATATCTTTACAAACGTTGGCATTCAGGCTCGACTACAGCGATTTTTACAAACGCGGTGACGCCAAGCTGCACGAACCACTCACATACCAGCACAAACGGCTCAGCGAGATAGGACTTAATTTGGCCAAGGTGACTATAATACCTACTTGTAAGATCGAGAATCAAGTTGAATTCATATAATGATCAAAAATCATCTATTGTTAGTATTCTATACAACATTTTGTCTCATGAACAATGTGATGCCATGTCAATGTTTAATTTTCTTGATTATAATAAATAATGTTTGGTGCAGAGCAAACTTTTGAGACGTCCTACGAAGAAGTGACAAGATGCTTTTACGGAGACATCAACTACGAGTATATGTGCTCCGTGGTTGGGCTTCGTATGTGTTCGGACCAATTAACTCGAATAATGAACAATCTCATAAAAACTAATGCCTGTCAGTAAGCACACTAAAGACTAATAATTTTGTTAACTGTGAATCAAATATTTGTATTGTAAATGAGACTATGTATGTTACTCAATCCTGTAATAAAATGCTTTTTAATATATTTATGTCTTCACTTCTTTACCATACACATGTGTGAAGGTGATAGGACTACTGCCAAGTTCATTATGAGCTGTCTCAAGCTCCCTTTCCAATCTCTTTTCCCTTTCATTTCTATAAGAAAGAGTGGAGGAACAGTATTAACAGTGGGAAGTGATGGATAGAAGTTACACAAAATAAAGATAGGCAACGCATCGATTATTGGATCTAGGTATGGTAATCGCTAACACTAGTCGCAAACATCACGAAACTTGTCTCTTTCCCTTTCTACTGAAGCCTAAAGCAAATTAAGTTTTGCATTAAACGCAAACTTCAATTTAAAGGTTTAGGGTGCCCATAAAAATAGAAGACCACGGAACCGGTCTTCGGACAACAGAAAACTTACAAAACTAATTTATAACATTGATATAGAAGTTGACTGTCGTTGTGTGGTCAAAGTATTTTATTGTAATAGTGTAATTTTTGAGTTTGCGATAATTTCGTGTATTAAAGGTTGTAAATGGAAATTACTATTGAATAAGTCATATAAAAATGTTGTAATATCGATGGAGATTGTGGCGCCCTCACGATACGTTTGTAGTTTTTGGTTTAGCTTCTTCACACTAATATTAGTAATTTTTAATCTACGTAAGTTATATTTTATAACCTGGCAGCACAGATTTGTTTAAGTTCTGTAATTTGTTTTCCGTTGATTTTATTTTATAAACAAAGAAGTGCGATTTGTGCGCATTTTAATATTTTAACTTTAGCATTTCATTTGTTTATATTTAACTAGTTAAGTTTAATGCACGGAATAAAATGGCTTCATTAAGTGAATATGAAAGTTTGGACGAAGAAGTAAAAGAACTTCTTGAAAATTATAAATTTAAGAAAGCGACTTTATATGAGCCATGTACACTTAAAAATTTCATAGAATGTTTAATAGGAATATATGAGGTAATTACTAATTGTATATTTATATTATACTTTGAAAAGTTTTTAAAGAAATTATTGCTTTATAGGAATTTGGACTTCTAAACATCAACTACACATTCAATCCGCAATTAGATATTGAAAACGATACCTTAACCACAGAAGCTTTGGTTAAACTTATAAATTCTGTTTGGATTTTATTACAAAGTTATAAAAACGCGACAGAAAAGGCTGAAAGGCTGGAGGAACGTAATCATATTCTGGAAAGTAATAATAGTCAACTTAATGTAAGTATTAACTTATAATTTACCATTTTTTTGGCATTTATTAAACTACCTTCTTCTATCGATACCATTTAGTGTGAGTTTCCATTGCCTAAAAATCCATATGAAAACGTAATCTTAGCGCTAAAGTTCGCCTTGAAAAAACATAGTAATTTGCATGTTTTTATTGGTGTCTCAGTAGCACAATTCATTGTTAAGTGTCAGGAATTAATAACATTATTCACAACATACCACTTTACAGACTTAACTAAAAGAAGAAGAAAGTGTTTTATCATGTGTATAAGTATTTACTATAACAAAAATTATATTTTCAGTATCTGCATATACTTGATACATTTTCTATTACAGGGTTTAGTGACTAGATTGAAAGAGAAGATAAAACTAGAGAAGAATGAATCGAAAGCATGTGTTGCATCTGCACAAACGGTAACTGACCACTCTAGTGAAATATATAAAAAGTACTTAGACACAAATGCAAAACTTTTACAACTCACCAAACAAAAGGAGACAACCGAAAGGGCTTTACAAACTAAAATATCAAAATTACAATTGGAAAATAATAAGCTTACAGACAAGTTAAGAAATAAGTCAGGTAAGTTTTGTATTTACTATTCCTCTTGTTTGCATTTTTATTTTTATTTACATATAAAATATAACCAAATTACAGAATCCTACACCCCATGTTCGGAAGTTTGTGATACCACAATTATACAAATAAAGGAGCGAGAAAGAAACCAAAGAAAAGTTATAGCTAAACTTCAGGCAAATAATCAAGATTTATTGCGAGAAGTGCTTTCTTTAAAAGAAGAATTATTACTTGAAGGACTTCATGGTCCTGGAAGGGCATAACTAAGAAACAAATTCTTAATTCCTGAACAATCATAACAATGTGATTAATTGTTAATGCTACTTGATTATTTTGTTAAACTTATCATAACTACATAAGAAGATAATTTGCAAGTGAATAATTTTTATTGATTGTGATTAATTATATATACATTATCAGTATTATTAACACTATTAGTTGAAAAACTGTACCTGTTTACTAAAATAAGCACATGATTGTGATACTATGAATAAATAATTCGTAACTCAAATAAGCATATTACTTTTCTCACCCTTATCTAAATTATCTATAAAATTAGCTACTTTCAAGTTTATCTGCATTTTTTTGATTTGACTGCATGATTGCTCTATAGACTAATTTTTGAAAGTTGAGCTGCAAAGGTGTGGGGTTAAAATGAAAATTATTGTATTTTCAATTTATGAAAGATCAACTACTTTTGCAAGACAATGGTATGATTATAATATGGTCCCTCAGTACAAATAAAAATTGTAAGCTGATTTGTAAAGAAGTTTGGTGGGAACACGCGTACAGAATTAATTATAGCGGCGGGACTCGTAGTGGGTACTTGTACGCGTCCTAATGCGATGCGACAATAGTAGCGGTAGCGCGTTAGTAATAGTGGCAGACGTCGCCGCGCTTTACCCAACCGCAATTGAATCACTCCCACTCGACGATATATTTGTTGTCATCAGTCCTCAGTCAGGCTTGCGAGTGTGCGCATGCGCACGCGACCGCTTATAATTAAAATCGCCGCGTTATCACAAATGTATCTTAGTGTGTGATAAGATCATTACATCACTGAATGATAAGAATCCTCAAGGACCGATTCGTCTTACCTGCGAACGTATCGTGAAAATTCGATATGAGTTGGCAGTAGCCAAATCGGTGTGTAACAATAGACATTATTATATTTATTATTGTGAACTGTGCGCCTCCGTTTGTTCTATGTGGTGGATAGTAACATGGGGACGACGAAGAGACTAAAGATAACAGTGGTCGGAGACGGTATGGTCGGCAAGACTTGCCTGCTCTACGTGTACACTAGAAATGAATTCCCAGAGGAGTACGTGCCCACAGTGTAAGTAGACGATCGCTTGGTTGGGGCTTAACTCGCAGGTGCGCCTGATGAGGTCAATGGGTCGGCTGCTGTGCTGCGACAGCCCTAACTAAATTAGCGCGTTAGCCGCTGATGCTGTAACGTGTTTAATACACAGTACCTACAAACTTCATTATTTAAATAAACAATATAATTAAATGTTTTGTATTTTTGTTTATAAAGTTCAGAATTTGGAAATGAAAACAAATATATTTAATAATTGACAAACTAAAGATTGAATGTATTGAATTTAGGATAACAATATTATTACATTTTTACTAAAACTTCACTTTTTTAATAAAATAACATCGCGTGAATGGTTAGTTTTGGGCGGCAATCGAACCTAGAACTAGTGGTATAATAAATAATCTAATCGCTATGTGTGGGTCGTAAAATTACTTTAGATTATATTATTATCACACATTTTAAGAGAAAAAAAGAAATTAGGTACCATAGGGACAGATTTTTGATCACAACAGTGTACAATTACCTATTGTAGAAAATTTATATTCAATGTTTTCTCCTATTTCAGTTGTAGATTACTATACTATATAACTGTTTTATTGTAAAAAAATGACGCAGTGTTTATACAACACATTTCGTTGAGATAAGAACGGAAGCTGTGCCGGCATCATGTCACCAACACCATCACCAACGGTATTAAAACTGCTTAATTTTCTTTTTAAATTAACGGAATACTAATTGTTATTGAGGACATAATAAAACTATTCCGTTTATTTGATTGTAAACATGTTTTTAGAAACGATGAGTAATTTTTTAATGTTTTCGTCATCGTTATACCTCGCTCTTCATGTATTTTATAAGACGTAGGTAACGTGAGTCAGCAATGACTAAATATTATAATGTATGAAACTAATATTTAGGTTTAAATTATTCATTATTGTAAAGTACACTCAGCATTAAACCACAGACATCGCAAAATCATTGACCTATTAATTGTTATTTAAACATTAATATAATCTTAAGTCATAGGCTTTTAACATAATAATAGATTATTATGTTAAAAGCTTGGCCTAAAATACTGTTCGGTAAACAAACAAACAATAAAAATAAACAAACAATAAAATGATATTTACGAAAATAAAGTTATAAGTGCAAATTACTTTTGTCGTTCGTTTTGTGCTGACGACCATGGGATCGTGAGCCAGACAAATATCCGCTGAGCCATCGGCATTGTTACGTTAAAGTTAAACAGGTACCTACGCATGTAGCTCATTGTAGTTCCGAGCGCGTTCACGTGAGAATCTTGAAATCGATCTCAATGTACAATAATGCAACAACAAAATTGTGTGATTGTTTGATTTCTCGTATATGTTTTGAGTTAAATACGAAGAGAAATAACAACTGCATAAAGAATTATACTATACTGATAAATATATTATAATGTTCTGTACATTTGATTTTCTTGATCGTGATTTGAGATAATAGTATTAGGATTGATCGTCACAAAACAAAAGCATGGATAGTGCTTTAATTATTGCATTCTTTTGCATTTTAATGTAACAATACATTATAATGAAGTTGGAACAATTGAACAGACATTTACTGAGCGAGTTTTCCCGATCAGAGTTGTCCTCAGAGCGTGACAAAGGTGCAATATTTATAAAGTCAAATGTGCGTTGCCACTCGCGGCATTGTTGTATTGTGCACGCTCGTCGTTTCCTCCTTAAGAAACCTCCGCTTACAAACGGACTTCCTCGCTATCCATCTCTGTAGTCAATTATTTGATGTCTCAAACTGTTAAGAACATACAACATTCACATAGCACTAGTTAGTAATTAATATTAGAACATATACTTTTTCTCATTTTCAGATTTTCGAATGCAGAACAATTTTTTATGAAATAGTACTTTTTTTGTTCTTCATTAAAGAAACTTGTTCGAAAGTTTAATGCTGCAATAATACATGATAATGATAACATAATTGAAATTATTTTAATTGTACAAAAATCATTAATTCAGGTTTGACAACTACGTGGGTCACATCACCGTAGACAATGTGGAAGTGGAGATGGCGCTCTGGGACACAGCAGGGCAGGAGGACTATGAGAGATTGAGGCCTTTGTCTTACAGTAACGTAAGTACATATAATCGATAATTAATGATAAAGAATATATTTATATGTATGTTCTGAACGTCTCTCGATTACATAATATATTATGTCATCAACCTTGTGCCTTTACCTTGACCTATAGCTATACGAAAGCAAATTTTATTAAAAACGCGTTTGTATGTGATAATTTATATTTTCTTTTTATGAAAATGAGATAAAAATCGTGTTGTGTGTGTAAATAATTATTTTTCTTTTATTTATGTTATTTACAGACAGACTGTTTCCTCGTGTGCTATTCTGTTGGAAGCAGGTCTTCATATGAAAATGTCATTCACAAGTGGTATCCTGAGCTGAAGCACTTCAGTGCCTCCGTGCCCATAGTATTAGTAGGTAAGGACATCACTCTTAGATATAAAGATAATAGAATAGATTCATATAACTTTATATTTTATGTAGCTATCAAAAAAATAATAAGTACCTAAGTGTAATTTGTAAACATTAGTCCAATGTGTGTTAATGAGGAAGGACCTAATTGTAATGACTGTAGAAATGTTTATTTTCGCACACAACTTCTCGCAGCCGTTTGTTTTATACGACTTTATTTGTTTACAGTTTCAACTTAATGAAACTCGTTTGCTGGTCGTTAAACCCAGAAATTTATAATGGTTTTAAAAAAGAACAAAGTCATCAAATTTATATTGCCGTTATGATCTAAATTCCTATAAAGGGCATGTGTATCAGACTTTGTTATAAAAGCGTTAAAGTATTATATGAAATACCTAAGGACAAAGATGCAAATTAAAATCATTACAATTTGTGGTGTGGCCTTTAAATGCTTAATTTTTTAAAATAATACTTAATTTAGAGAAAGATATTTGACTTTTAACATGCGAACATTTTCTGAATATAATTACAGCAAGATACGTTCATGTAATTACTTAATAAATGTACTGTCGATAAATAATGTATTAACGAGAATGTGTAAAATACTCAACAACGACAAAAGCGACTTATCCGAATTTATTATCTCCTTATTCCGGAAACAGGCGAACATAGACATTGTTTTAGATATCTGTGGGGGCTTTTCGATGTTATTATTAAAACATAAAAAAGAAACAAATCTCCCTTGTTGTAAAAATAACCTTTCGATTAAGATAAAAATAATGGCAACATCCACAAGTGATTAGAAAGCAGGTAACTTTTGTAATCGACATATTTGTAAAGTAAACAAAAGTTTGTTATACGCTACTGTGCTGAATACATAAAATAATTATAATTAAAAACTGAATTTGCACACCGACTTATTTACTGACGAATTTTTAGAAGACTCCTAGGTGGCAAGTGATATTATAGCTTTTTAATGGAATTAAAAACATAAATGTGTATATATTATGCCGATAGTTCAGAATATGCTTTAAATATGTTTGAAAGTCAAATTGACAAATCAAATCATTTTAACTGAATGCACACGGTGCTTGCATTCAATATTGATGTGTGGGACGAGTGTGGTTGTGTTATACTACTATTTAAAGGTACTGAGGTTTCGTTTCCTGTTAGCCTTGATTAGTAAACTGCTAGTTACCGCGAGGTGTATTGTTCGCGAACTAAATGTGTCACTTTGACGTCATTTCATTGCGCCCGCTAATATAATCGTTAACCATGACGTTATATCGCCCTTTTGGATGATATTATGAATATGATTAAATTATGGAAGGAATTTTGATAATATAAACGATTAAGCTAACAAGTTACAGCTGATGCTATAAATAAACTATTTTTTTTTCCAAGAAGGTACTTTGTTATGAATAAATAAATGGCTGATTCTAACCTACAATCCCAACTTTTGGACACTTGGTTGGTTCAACTTATGTTTTCTATAACAATGCACGGCGTCAAGAGGGCGCAGAGAATCAAAAAATGAACAATAATATTAACAATAGTAATAGGCATATATAAACTACTAAAAAATTCTAAGACACCTATAGACCCACATAGATAACTGAAAAACCAGTCAGTGTGTCATTAAAAAAAATTGGTACACTTGTTGATAAGCGTTATTCGGAATAAAAAAAATTACTACTAGCCTCCCCTAGACCTAGCCTAGATCATCGACTGACGACGCCCTTGGCAACACGATATCTGAAAGGACCTGCTTCATATATAATGTTTCGTAAAATTATAACATTGTATTTATTACAAGTAATTTAACTCTGTAGTCATGTAAAAAAGGTTTCTTTCTTTCATTGGTTTACTTGGTACCTAGTTAAGCTGCATTACACCCGAGTTTAAAAATAGATCAGAAGCTGCCAGAGCTGAATAAGCAAGCTTCCATATTGCGTTAAAATATCTGTCGATACTAACCAGGGCTATACTTTTATCGGATTCTTATAGGGGCAATCACGTTAAACTGGTCCCTAATTGTTCGGGATCATACCCTTGTATAGCCAGAGCGGCTCTCAACAAGGGAATGATAGAAACGAGGGTTATGGGAACGACGATTGCGTTATAAATAAATCTTGAAAATACATATTTCAAATTAAAGCTGCGGACGAAACATTTTTAATAATATAATTATTTAATTAAATCAACATTTTCTACAATAAATAAATAAATACATTTAAATTTCTACAGGTACGATACACGCATATGACATGCTTGATTTGTGTTATCTTTGAGTCTTAATAAACTCGGTACTATGCAATATTTAATATAATGTATTTTTTCTATATGAATGGAAACCCCCTGTTATGTTTCCCTATAGTAAGTTACTCTTATACACAATTCCTTATATTTTCCTTGTGTTTACGTAACGTATTTACTGTTGTTTTTCAGCAACTAAAATAGACTTGAGGTCATCAGGCAAAGCGGTTATTACTACGCAAGAGGGGAAGAAATTAAAGAGGAAAATACGGTAAGTCAAAACACTAAATACGTTGACCTAAGAGAAATAGAATTAGCTAAAGTTTTAGGATTACAACAGAAAAAATAAATATTTATAGTGATAGCTGTCCTTCAGTAACAGGAAAGTCAACCTTTATATGTAACGAAATAGCCATTTCTAAAAAGTAACACAAACTCAATAAGGTTAAGACACTATTTTTAATTTTCTCTCTTGGATTTTGACATTTCGTTTAGCCAAGGAAGTTGAGCTTGAGGTGTGGCCAGCTCTCCCTATCAGTTGCATCTCTGTCTTCTGCAATATTGAAATAATAGCACATAATCTATGGCATAAGCGAGGAGCGAGGTGAGGGAAGGGCGAAACAACGACGCGGCATCGGGGCGTCGGCAGTCTGTTATCGTGTCATATTATCGCAAGCTGATAATGACAGAATGTGAAAGGACTACAAAACAACAATCATATACAAAATATTTTGTATAAAAGTGCTAATATAATTTTGCTTGATACCAATTACTTAAAACAGAATAATATAATAATGATTTACCACATTGCCTAGAAACATAGTGCCATGTTTCTAGGCAAACGATAGCTTGTAGGTAGGACGATTTAAAGTGGAAATGACGAAAGGTTACCCACAACTTGCTACATAGTAGGAATGATCCTCACAATTGCTCAAGAACTTATTAAAATAATGGCTACTAATTGTTATTTTTGCAGAGCTGCTCAACTTGTCGAATGTTCTGCGCTAGAGCGAGTCAACATGCATGAAGTGTTCGAGGAAGGCGTCCGCGCAGCCCTAACCAAAAAACCAGTCCACAAACGCACCTGCCAATATCTTTGATTATCACACTACTACATAAAGTCATCGATGCAATATTTTACAGCGTGGATTTATTATATTATAAATAAGTCAGTTTGAGAAAGGGCACAATGATTTTATATATATCAAACTACATAGAATGTTTGGACTCAAAGAAAAATTATTTTTTGTCAATGCAAAACGTACATTTTATAAAATATTTCTAATTATTTCAATTGTTTGCTATAAGTATTATAAAGATTGCACAAATGTAAATAAATAGCGTAAAGATATTACTATGTATTAGTGGTTACATGACCACGAACCACGAACTAGTGAGCAGTAATTATTAGGTACTTTGTTTCTTTTGTTAAGTACTTATGATTTCCTCTGTAAATTATTTCCTTATAAATAGATACTATAATATTATATTAAAGATTATTTATAGTTGTTTTATTTAATTTCCATAAGTTTAATTATCAGCCTTACTTTCATATCTTACTAATACTATTATAAATGCGAAAGTTTAGATGGATGGATGCATGTTTGTTTGAATTTGGCACAGATGTAGGACATTGTCTGGAAGAACACAAAGGTAAATTAAGGTATTTCTTAGTTCCGCGCGGACGGACTCACAAGTGACAGCTAATATTTATATAAAGGCGCTACCATCTTTATTGATATTGCAAGCTAATATCATCTGAAAATAAAATCCCGTATTTTCGACATATCTTATGTTAAATTATTCAAACTTTCGTGAGACATTATACTAAACTGATATATAAACACGGCTAAACACTCACGTATATTCGTCCGGTGGCGGCACCGACTAGTTTCGAACCCAACGGGGGCCCTTCGTCAGGATGAGTGGTACTGGTATTATTTCGCGGACGCGGCCCGTCCCTCACTGATATATATTTTTTTCTTTACAACTTAATTATTTTCGGCTTATTAGCAAATCGTTTAATAATACAATACTTTGAGCACTGGACGACAATAAACAAAACAATGTCAATTCTATATTTTATATTAAAAATAAAATGACTACTAATTCAACAAAATAAAGATCTAAAACAGCGTGGCAGCAGAACAATAGAATGTAACTTAAATTAAAATAAAGTAAATAAGTAAGCACATTCGGTACTAGGCAGAATGTTTTTTGTCTTTAATCAAAAATACTTAAAAATACAAAAAATGACATCTGTCATTGTCAATTCTGCTGTGCATCTGTTGTACAATTGTAAAATTCGTAAAGCCTTTTTTGCATTGAGGTCAACATATTATTGCGATTTTACTGATATTTTTGCATCTATAAGCAGAACAGACAGCAGCAGCTAGACACTATACGAAAATCATTCCTTCCTTATCAAACTGTATTTGATTTTTTTTTCCTGTATTAGGACAGTATTTTACGTAAATTCACCATGAAACGAAGCTACGACACAATGAATTCTTCAATAGAAATAAGTTCCTATCGCGATCAACATTTTAAGGTATAAAGTGATATTATTATTACCATCGATTTTGTATTTACAGTTTGAAAAATTAATATCTATTTTGGTTAATAGGGCTCTCGAAATGAACAAGAAAAGTTGCTACGTGCATCGTCAACATTATACATTGGAAATCTTTCATTTTATACAACAGAAGAACAAATATATGAATTATTTATGCGTTGTGGAGAAATAAGAAGAGTAGTTATGGGTTTAGATAAGTACAAGAAAACTCCTTGTGGATTTTGTTTTGTTGAGTATTATGCTAGACCAGACGCAGAGAATTGTATGAGGTAAGGTGAAAATCCATTCACATAAGAAATACCACCGAGACAGGAATTTATGTACATTTTTGTTGTAGATACATCAATGGAACTAGGTTAGATGACAGAATTATTAGATGTGATTGGGACGCTGGTTTTATTGAAGGGAGACAGTATGGACGTGGAAAAACTGGGGGACAGGTAAGTTTTTTTCCATGATTTTCACATTATACCTTATATCATTCATATATTAATTATTATACACAGTTCATATATTAATTATTATATACAGTTTAATTTAATATCAAGGAAAAGTCCTCACATCAACTTGTTTAAAATTAGGCTTTTTGACATTCTAAATGATTTGAGCAGCAAATACTTTGGTTGTCCAGTTCGCTAGCCGCTTTTTTTGTATTCTGTTTTTCTTTTTTAAAATTGTCTATTCTCTGCGATGTCATACTGCACCTTTGTTGTACATAGTTCACATTTCAAGTCTTACTGTGTGTTTGTAATGTCATTTTTAAGAACACATTGTTGCAGGGCATTAGTGGTAGTATTAATTTAATGTACTTTTATTTTATAGGTGCGAGATGAATATAGAACAGACTATGATGGCGGCAGAGGGGGTTATGGTAAAATTATTGGCCAAAAGATAACTCCTAACACATTAGATCGTTGAAATTTTATATTTACAAGAAACAAGCCACTGTTTTGAAAGACTGTAATTCAAGAATATGTTCATTCAGATTGTAATGAAGTGTGAATAAAAAACTTTTTTATGTCAATCATTTTATTTTATTTACTCACATGTGTAAATTTTTTCTAGATCTGTTGGAGCCATGTACCAGTTAAACAAACAAATACTCGCAATATAACATGAAAATTCATCAATAATCCTCTCACCATCAAGTGGACTATATTATGAATGAACTATATTGTGATTAAATATTAATCTATATTATATGTACTCTATGACTGCAAAAATAATATTTTTTGTCCGTGTTGGTATTAAATTAAACAATTTTAACTTTTTCACAGTTTATTGATTTATAAAAAGCATATAATATAAAGACACTGACATATAAAATTAAACAGTTATAAATGCAATAACATTAAAATATAAAATAATTTAATTTCATAAGTTCCTTATTTATCATCAGGCAGCTCGGCCACATTAACAAAATATGTTTCATTTGTATAAAAGATTTTTATAACATTTTAATTGAAATGTATATGCTTTTTGAGTTATACAAAAGTATATATAAATATTCACTACAGTCAAAGACTGTAATTGTTAGTAATTGTTCGCGCCAATTCGAATTGCCATTTTTGTTCGAGCAACATTTTTTGAAAAACTAGTGAAGTACCTACGCAAACCACGATTTTTAATAATGCTTCCAAATTTAAATTAAACTTTTATGAGTGTTCTGTACTCGTTGAACGCTCGCCGAATAAACATCTCAATCCTCTCTGGCAGATATCATTTTAATTCCGTAGTTTTTGAACAAATAACTTTCAAAAACTTTCTAGTAAAAATAATATATTTACTTAAGTATTTTTCATTACTATAGAGATTCACATATGTGTGGAGATGTGAGACTATTTGAAAGAAATACAAATGTTAAAATAACATTTACAATTCGTCTAATACATAAATGTATAAATTTAAAACAAGACATATACATTTTTAAGTACATAATATATAATAACAATAACATTTAAATATATAACGTGTAAAAATATCAACAAAACTATAGAATATATATATATCTATTGAAATAATCAAATGATGAGATTTTTTTCGAACACAACAATAAAAGGTCACTTACATACACAATATTTTGTTATCTTCACACATTTTTAAACATAATTGCATTCACATAAATTGCATATAGAAAACGTTACTTGTGTCTCTAAAAATAAATTAAAAGCACATTTAAAAAGCTAGCAATTATTCCCTTTTTTAATTATACAGATCATAATAGGAATTTTAAAGTTATGAGATTATCAGAATATTGTACTATTCTTTCAGCTTTGTTTACGAATTCAATTAATGGATGGAACTGTATGTAAACTTTCTTATATTGTTTGAAAATTAAAAGCATTTCGATTGATACATGTTTAACTTATTCTATCTTCTATAAGCATCATTAGTTTGCACAAAACTTAGTGAAATTATAGCGTAATATAAAAAAAAATAAGCTCTAAACACTAGGTATTTCAGGCATGAGGTCGAACCACAGAGTTTTCGCTTCGCGGAAATCATATTGGTTGAGATGTACAATCACCTGCAAAAGAAATTATGAATACATGGAAATTCAGGATCTCACTTCAGTACTCAACCTACGATTTCTGCAAAGAGTATGACGTCAATTTTTCAAGATATTAGTGTAATACTTGTAATATTATAAATGCAAATGTTTGGATGTATGGATGGATGAATGTTTATGAGACGGCATCTCGAGAAGAACTGCATGAATCTTGATTAAATTTGGCATAGATATAGAACATAGCCTGGAAGTGCACATTTTTTAAAATTCCGAACAGACGGAGTCGCAAGCGACAGTGATATTAGGGTATAAGTATATTAGAATGTACCTGTCCAATGATAGGGCTGCCCCCGAGGAATCCTTTGTGTGTGGCAACAGTGACCTCAATCTGCCTGGAGTGCAGCTCCGCGTGGGATATCACCCACTCAAACTGTTCGTCATACTCCGGCATACAGTTGTCCTTTACTACCTACAAAGTGTTAAGAAACTATTAGATATATTTTGATTTTGTGCAATTTTGTCAAAGATGTAATATTGAAAATTTTCTATTTCAAACTATATTAATTGTAGAAAGGCTAAGTTATAAGATATGATGACTTACCGCAGTCTTGCGCTTCGAGTCCTTGGAGCGTCCGGGCAACAAATATAACTTGACATAAGGATCGGGAACATTGGTGGGATCCTTGAGAGGTATGTTCCTGTGGAAGATAATTTATTCAGAATAAAATAATCGAATTTCTACATAATCATATATAAAGTCTTATTTCTTATAGACATATTGACTTACATAATTTTATGTACGACAACGTAAAGTGTCTGATGCTGCATGCTGTAGCGCAGCGAGAGCAGGATGCGGCCGAGCCCCGCCTCGCCCGCAGACCTGACGTAGTTAATACATAATTACTATATGTTCTACTTTGTAATCTTGTATGGAGTGTTTCAAACTCACGTAGTTATAGATGATGTACGATGCACCAGCTTCGGTGAATCTCTACCAGACGGCGTTTCCTCTTGTGGGACATCTAAATAAATTAGGATATATTTAACATGCACTATTTTTCTTTTTTTTTTTTAATTTATATTGCAATTTGTACTTGAAAATGACGTACCAACAGCTCTCTCGATATGTTCCACTGGGATAGACTTGTCTGAGGCATTGTCTTGCAAATTGTCCTCTAATTTTTTCAACTCCGCGTTCAATATCAAAGCTACAATCGAAATAAGAAAAAAAATTAAGTCACGTGATACATAAGCAAACTGCAGCAAAGAACACAACTGACACCTAAAGTTAATGTTTATGGCATCAATTATTATGTTAAGTGTTAATTATATTTACTAAGCGGGTATTTAAGTATTGACCGATTGTAAATGCTGCAGCTATTGTGAAAAGTTCATATGTTACGTGGTTGTGCGGCATCGGTGGAGTCCATGACTGCGGGTGTGGGCGGGGGCGTGGCCGGCAGTGCGGAGGGCGGGGCGCTCGGGGCGGGCTGCGGGGCGGGGGGCAGGGGTGACGACACCGCCACAGGCTCCGGTACCACAGGAACATCTGACACCGACTCTGTGTCTACATCTTCCTCCTTTATCGCTTCTTTTAATATCTATAATACAATACATATTTTTAAAAATGTTATTTTGTTCTGTTTTCCTACAAAACAGATATGAGATTTGAACAAAATTTACCTTCAACTGTAGAGCGAGTATAATTTTCGACTCGGGTCCGGATTTCTGCAGCGTTATCGGCTGTGTCAGCATACACAGATCTTTTTCCTTTAGCAAGGCTCGAATGCTGTACGTCAGTTGTCCCAGGATGCTGCCAGTTTTCTGATCTAACGCCTACGTTCACAAAACGTATAACTACATACATATGAAATCTAACTGCCGCACACAGACTCAGTAATAGGAACCATTATTTAATGATAATTAACCTGGTAACTAAATATACTGTCACATTATTTTTTTTTTGTATTTCTTTAAGTTTTTATTTCAAAAAACCCAAGAGAATTAACCACGAAAATGTATGAAAACAATGCTCACTTTAATTTCCAAGAGGTCAATTTCTGGGTTCTGCACGAGGAAGGAGTATCCGATTTCATAGACTGGGTCGTCTGTGCGCATCTGCACCGCCGTGTTCTCAGTCTTTTTGCCCACCGTTACCGTTAGGTACGGGTCGGGTCGCGAAACTGTTCTTGCGTTCTGCAAAATATATTAATCCTATAACATATCAAGTGTAATATTTAATGAAATTCTTCAAGGTAAACTGATAAACTTACCGGCAATTTCTTACAAGAATCAATATACACGGATAACACAGCCGAACTGAGTTCACCGGTCTTCACCAATTGTGTCTCTGTTATTGCCTAAAAAAACAAAGAATATTAACTCAAAATTCATAAATTTACCTTAGTAGTGTTTCAAAAAGTAATAGTTTTTCTTACGTGACTAAGGTCGGTCAGGTCTGTAGAAAGTCTATGCCATGAGAGACGAAGGTGCACCTTCCCATGTTTTGCTTGCTGGAGAGTTTGCCACTGAAATATACATAACAAGTATTAACTAATCCTATAAGTAAAAAACGATGGATTTAATAAGGTATCACTGTTTTAAATAAAAGTTCAGATACTTCGTTTAGAATCAGAGATACGTCTCTGTACATGTGTTTGGACAATGGAAACTTATGTCTTACCGTATCCAGGCGACCGGCGCGCACCACTTGAGAAATGTCCAATGAACACCTGTAAAGTCACGTTATACATAATATGTTTTTTTAATAAATATAACTTACAGTAAAATAATTTTACACATTACTAGGTATTAGGTTATTTTTAGGACAAACATTTAACACGTAATGTTAGTATTTGTAATTAAAATCTAAGCAAAGCTTTTATTAGTACTGTAAATAAAGCTGTAAACTTATGTTTTCTGATTTTTAAACAGCATTTTATGTATTTGTACAATTAGTTGTATTAATGAAAAGAAAAAGTGAGATATAACACACAACATTAAGATTTAAATTGCCAATAAATAAAGAAAATGATGCAAGAGAATGAAAAGACTTTGATATAAAAAATTCGAAAGAGAAATTGCTATAATTTTTGCCAGTTTAAATTAATTGAAAGTTATTGTAACTCCAATGAATTAATGAAGTAGTCAATTTTAAGTTTGACACAAATGAAAAATTTCTTTTTCGAAATTTGCTTACATTATTAATAAAATAGAATTATGAAAATAAAAAAGTGATAATCGTGTTAGTACAGTTTTGTAAGTAACGATGTGTATTTTATACAATTTACACTAGATACAGTATGTCTTGTTAATTATTTTAGGGTCTACACAGACGTAACGATTTGGTGACAGTCAATGCATACATTTGTGGCTGGTGCTCTGTGATAAACGTGTGACATTTCGTCCACTTTCATATATGAGTAAAGTTTGTTGAAAATAGGGCTGCCAGGTTGCCTGTAATTTTCCTGCATTTAAATAGCAAAAAACTGTCTTAAATCTGAAATTAAATTACATAAAATACGAGTAATTTAGTTTTTGCAATTCAAATATTCGATTTTTTTTTACAACCTGGCCACCCTGTATCAGTTGTCTTCGATATACTAGCAAGATGATACGCTACTGTACGTGCGTATACAGTCTGTTGGCCAACCTGCCCAGGCGTTCGTCTCTCCCCGCGCGGTCCCAGTCGAAAAGCCTGACGGTGACGCTGGTAGCGCTGCTTTGCAGCATTGACTGTCACAATTCACTCCATATAGTCAGTGTTACCATATTAATATTTTAATATTTACTCACAACATATACTCAACAGTTAGTGTAAATTAGTAGCAATAAACCTGCATCGTATAATTGTTACCGGTAGATATTTAAATTTTATCCGCTATTGGGTATTTCTAACACCTACATTCAGAGAAAAAAATAACCACACGACATTAGCAACACCAAAAAAATTTACACAAATAAAAAATGGCCCAGTGTAAATGAATCTTTATATCACCTTTAACTTTAAAATAATGCTAAAAAAATCAAAATAATACAAATATATAAAAATCTTTTAGGATGATATAAAAAATCATGTGACATAAACGCAAAAGAAAAAACACATGAAATCGGGGTATTGGTGTAGGTCGAGGTGACGTCATCGCAAACGGACCTGCCGAGATAATCATCGTTCTGTATGCCCATCCCCGGGTCCCAGTCCCACAGCTCGCACTGCAGCACCTGGCTCTTCCGCGAGCTTATTATCGCCTTAGGACAAATTACACAACATTATTAAGAAAATCTTTCTACGTCTATATCACTGCCTTGGCCCTGCTACTAAAGATCTATCCATCTTAGCAAAGTATACCATTGCGGATATGTAAAATACAATTTTTCAAAACTTTTTATATTTTAAAGAAATGGCCAAATAAAAACATGTAAATTAAATTTTGAAACAAATTTTAGAAAAGTTAAGATACAGATTACAATACAAAAGTAATTTTATCTAATTTTAAAAAAAATGTTTGTACTTACAAATAAAGTTGTACTCAAAATGGTTTCGGATTTATAACAACAAAAGCATACGTTGTGCAAGCAATGTCGCTATGAGAGGACAGTGAAATTTTTTAATTAATCGAAACTCTTAGGTATAACGTGAATTTGACAAGAGATCAAAGTATCATGAATTATTACGTAAAATTTCATGTTCTCTCAAATATGTATATTATCTTATAATAATGAACGTGATTGAAAGAAGTCTAAGAAAAATACAAAATTGAATTGATTTTTTTCAAAGATTGTTTTAAAATACAATTTCTTAGACTACTTAAATTAGATAAAAAAGCAAATACTTTATGTAGTTACTTAATCTACTGCTAATTGCAAGCTTTAATTGTCATGCCCCAAGCGTAAATGTAGACGATTATTGATAATGAGATACGTAAAAAAAATTTAGAAAGATAATGAAGATTTGTCCAATTCGCAAACCAAACCTTATGATGTTAAAACCATGCAATTTATGCTCGATTCCGCTCACATCTATAAAATCGATTTATATAATCGATGCATATATTTGAATTTAAATAATCGATGTAATCAGTCGTAATCGTCCACGTTTACTGAAGCGTGTGCCTGTCACCAGTGCGGCCGTCACCCGGGCTCTCGCGCACCTCACCGTCACTCACCTGCCGAGTTTGTCATCGTCGTTGCCTTCGTCTTTGTCGAACACTTCTATTTCCAACGCTTGACCCAGCGATTGCATAATACGCGCCTTTACGCCGAACGCACAAGTCCGACGCAAACATATGAGTAGAGGAAAACAAAATCAAATTCACACTAACTTATTGCCAATTAAGTTTTATACATTCGAAAAGTCTGCATAGAATGGAACGCTAGAGATAGAAAAGAAAGATACAGCGTCGAAGGAACGTCATATTAAATACCCAAAGCATTAATATAATTAAGCTGTGTTACTAGAATATAAAAAAGTTTTTATTCTGTCAATATTTTCATGAGCTACAACAATTGCAACATGTCAAACAGATTGATTGGCAGAATTACTTCGATTGGATTGTACAAACCCAAATTAAACATTTTTTGAAACATCGTTAAGGTGTTCCAGTAAAACATATTGCTTAATATTCAACAACTATAAGCTTAAGTACGTGAATGTATTCATTTCATGCAACCATTTGTTTTCGTCAAATCTCATGAAAAAATTGCCATAATATGAGAAATACAAAGTAAATTTTAGGTAAGAGCTTATTTACTTATGATGGATTTGGTATGAAAACAGAATATTCGTTCATCTGAACTCAAATGAATTAATGAAAATATTTTTAATGTACATTAGTTCAATACTTAAAATTACCAACAATTAATATAGTTAGTGTCATGCACAGATCGTTGTAGTTTAATTAAATGTCAAAATGTTATTGAAACTAATCGATCAAGTTTGAATAAAATAGAAAAATAAATAGATTGATGAAACTTTAATTTTATAACATAAATCACAAAAGTAAATGTGAAAAATACGATTATTTATATACAAATTGTATTAGTCCCAATGTTGCCATTTTATAATAAAGCAAACAATGTGCTATTTTATTTTTATCGTGTGCAGAAAGTCGAAGAAAAAATGCGTTAGTCTCTGGCAAGTGTTAATGTTAAAGTTATGCATATATTATGGTTTATTTTAAGATAGAAATAATTTCGATTCAATAAAAAGTAACATAAACCAACGCATTTTGCAAATTATAGTGCAAAATAATTATAAAAAGTCGTAACATAAACAGGCACCAATTAGTTGAAAAAGTGTAAATTTTAAAGTTATCTGTGCAAAAAAGTGCCAAATCCTTAACCTGTGCGAGATAAAAAAAATGTGCAATTGTCTATGGACTAACTTACCTCGCACCAGAAGTCCCAATGTGGGTTGACGTCGTTGTCTATGTGTTTCGTCTTCCATTGCTGCGCGCCAACTGTTATAATGGCGTAAGGATCCGACTTACCCTTTCCTGGAAATTGAATAAAATACATGTAGCTGTTGCGTACATCTCTTCCGAATTTACAAGCAATGAAACATAATAAAAAATGTAATTTTTTTTTACTTATGGGACACAATTGCCCCGATTGCTATTGAAGTTATGGAAAATTTGAATTACACTTACCTAACATAGAAACATCTTTTTTCATTAAGTTTTGAGCTTGGACGAGATGAATACGAAGTACGCCCTGAGAAAAAAAAAGACAAATAAATAAAACAGTCAACTTTAACATTACTTTTTTTTTTAAAATAAGAAGTACATATAGCGCAATTACCTCAGGTTCAGGCATGCGCAGGTCCACAGTGGGTATTTCATCGCTCAATTTGATCGGCAGCTTGTTGGGCAGCACCATGATCCTCGACACTTGCTCCACGATACAACGACGCAAGATATCACTAACAAACATATTTCTTATTAGATATAAATTTTGATATCCACAATAAAAGATGTAAAGATGTAAAACAATCAAATAAAAAAGCTAAGTTCGTTTGTTTACCAACGAAATTAAAACTAACCTAAAGCCAGGCATGTCCAATATATCCGCAGCACCGACAAGGTTGAAGTCAATCGAGGGGTTGTTGAGGAAGAACACTTGCAGGCCCCCCACCAGTGGCATTTTGGTGATCAGAGGCTTCATGACAACGCGCACCATGCCATGAATCTGTCAATTACATCAAAACTATTCTCAAACACAAAATGTTTATTTATTTCAGATGAGAAATACTTCTAAACCCTAAAGCTCATATACAAAAAAAATCTTAATCATTTTTTCAATGAACTATGCATAATGAAATTTCAAACCTGTAGATCTTTTATTCCACCTCGAATTCGTTGCAGGACGAAAGATATGTCACAGTCGCCGGCGTAACTAAAAATAACATTTAATTTTAGCAGTATAAGGTTAATTATAAAATTTAAAGTACATAAATTAACGTTTTTATACTTTTCAAGCTATCGCCTACGGCTACATCCTCGCAGAATAAAAAAAAAACTAATTAGTCTGTCTATAATTATATATTATACTAATTAGTCTGTCTATAATGTCTGTAATTTTTGGCATAGATGTAGAACATAGCCTGTCTTCTTTCAGGCTATGTTCTACATCTATGCCAAAAATCAATCGTTCTGCATATATCTATTAAGAAACATCCATCCATACATCCAAACATTTGCATTTATAATATTAGTAAAAAATAAGATAGACACACTATCAATGTTTATGTAGGCAAATAATCAAGAACATGTACTAATGACATAATATAAGTGCTGGTTGGCTTATCAATGCTTTCACAGTAATTGTGTTGAAAGAAGTTTTATCTACGTGCGTCTAACATAAATGGTTGAACCCATACATTATGGTAATTAATATATTTTGGAGGTTTAACTAAATCACAAATTTATATTTAGAACTAAAGACTACAACTTATTTAACTCTGCTTTGTATACGTGTGTACTTGTTTCAAGTAAACTTTTTTTAAAATAAGTATGTAAACACTTACGCAGCAAGTTTATACTTACAATAAGTCGATGTCCATAATAATTTCATTTCTGGATAGATTTTTGTCGTATACTTTCACACCGCCAACTCGAGGTGCCTTAAATTATTGACAGTAAATATTATAACCGGAAGTATGAATGTGAAACATCTGACAAAGGCAGAGGGCACTTTTTTTTAAATTTAATGTCCTTCATTTGACTTACAATTGTGCCGAGTATCATACGTTCAAATCTGAATCCATTGAGTTTATAATTAGCCAGGCTCTCAGCAACCGCCGGCTCGATAGACTCCTTCAATATAGTTCTGGCATAGTGATTCACATTCGGCCAAACTTGTAATAATATCTGTAAAACAAATTATTTAGTACAATGTTGCATTTATAAAAAAAAACAAATGAAGCAAATGGCAATGAGATTCAATTACCCTGTTTAACCATTCTGCACGCTCTATGTCAGGGAAGAAAACCTGAAAGAAATTAGAGAAATCGTGATCGTTTTTTTTAATAAACTTTTTTTTATTTGACACACAAGTATTACTGGCCTGTATTAATGAAACAAAACAAACAGGGTTGTTATTAGGTCACGCAAATATAATGTGACGTAATCAGGGTGACGCAAGGCCTCGCCTAACGATAAAATGCTGTTAGCGATATTATTCCATAACCAAGTCTGTCACTTAGCCGAACCATTTATCGGCATTACTAAAGTAAGTTTGAACACCTGCCCTAGTGCATACAGCGCCTTAATACGAGGTTATGCTGATACAAATAAGGGAGGCTAGTCATTATTTTAGCAGGGATTGGTATTTGGACTATGTACCAATGGTAAATAATCTTAACTATGTTTTTATATATAAATTTACCCAGGCTGGAAGATCGTCAAGTCGTGCCAGAACGACATCTTTTTCTGAGGACGAGGCAGCGGCCTTGGCCAAGTTGCGGCGGTATTCGTTTTCTCTTCGCCATTGATCTCGGATGACGGACAACACGACGGGGCCGATGAGCCAAGCCACGCTCCATTGCATATATCCCACTAAGTATACAGCACCGACAATCGACACCTGGAAGAATTATTAATTACCCTACTAAATTATAATATATTCATAAAAACATAATTGAATCTTACATAAGAAATACTTTTACTGGATGTAAGTGTAAGTGCTGTTAGTTTTCGATGATTCATTCATAATGTAAGTGTGTTTTTGGTCATTAAAATGAATGTATTGTGGTGATAGTTATAAATATAATTATGCTTAAATATATTTCTCAATCTAATTTAAACTAAAAGGTAGATTCAAACTGCAGCAAGGTATTATAATTTCGCAACAACGCAACTAATAGTAGATCGTCGAGATGGCAAGGGACACAGTCGTGACAATACAATGCTAATTTAGATAATTTTGTATGGCACTTTGTTTAACTACATTATCTTTAGACGTTGATATGTCTCACTATTCACTGGATTACAATTTGTTTTCAGTTTTAGATAAACAAAGCCATGACATGATGGTCAATGGCGCATATTTTATGGTTACGCGGAAATTTTAAAGTCCATGTAAACTAGTGGAAATATATATATATATATATATATATATATCAGAAAGAAAATATTTGTAATATTTTTTTTCTGCTTTTCTTAATTTTTCTCATCGGGAAATATGCATTACTCATTAATTATAAATTATAATTTAAGATTAGCAAAGAGATCGATCATAAGGATATGAACGATATAAATTGAAAAGAAAACATGGGAAAAAGTCATATATCATTTTATTGCCTACATGAATAACATAAGTTCTAGTAGTGCCGGTTTTTACGCTTACAGCGCCCTGGTCGAGATTTCCACGCCGATACTGAGTATAAGGCTCAGCCACTATAAACAATTTTATAATATTCGGAATTATTTACTCTTGATTAATTTATCAACAGGACACATTTTATTTGAATTGTTCCCATATGTCCAGATAAACGTTTTCCGTAAGTGTGGTCACACAATTGAATGTTGCATATTAAAACTCCCATTATCATATTTGTGTCATAGTTATTTTTAGAACAGGTTGGCATGAGCCAACTGGCACTATATTTTTTTTATTGTTTGAAGCCTTTTGTGAATCATATCTGAATAGCAAAGCCTTAGTAGTCAAAAATGTCTCAGACAAATTATTGTTATTACTTTAAAAGAATATATTATAAAATAAAACTAATATGTAATATTATTTATAATTTTTAAATTGTAATTAATAAGAGATTTTTTTCTAAAAGTAAGGAATGAATTGAACTGTGATGTCACAGTCATGTCATAAATTTTTATATATATAAATTGAACAAAAAGCCATGGGGACTTCATTAAATATAGGTTATAAAAAATAATAATTAAACAGTCAATATTTTTAAAATTTTCAGATGTGATATTAAAAAATCACACAAACACAATATGTACTTCCCTGTACAATGGTTCCACATTAATTCACTTCAGATTAACTTCCTCAAAGCCACACAGATAAAAATACATACAGAACTAGTCTTATTGAATGCAATAGTGTAGGTGGTCATACACATTGTATTGAATAACAAATACACATGTTGCATTATATAATGTGTATTTTTATATAAATTTAACACTTTGATAAATGAATAACTATATAGGTCTTTTTTAAATATAATATAAAGCATTGCATTTCACACCTTTACTAAAGCATATTGTTATCTCTTTTTTGGTTAAGAAAAATGAGTGGGCCAACACTTTTTTGCTATGGCAAGGGAAACCCTCAGCTATTGATGATAGATAGATAGATGATATGCCAATACTCTAAAACCTTTTGGTGATTGAAACTTTATGGGTCAGCTACTATACTCTGAATTTATTTCATCATCGTCAGCTCACTATACGTCCCCACCCAGGGGCTCGGAGCCTACCCTAAGTTAACGGTGATTAGGCCATAGTCAATTGAATTTATTTATGTATTACAAATGACATGCTACAGTGTGTATTTACTATTATTGATATTATTACTGAACAAGGCATGTTTTTATTTATTACAATAATTAAGCAAAATAAATTAAATATTATGACTTGTTCAACAAAAAAACATAGTTATAGCACCTATAGTTAATGTGTTTGTGATACAATCAATATTTTAATTGGATAATAAGATATTTTTTCTTAACATGATGAAAAATTTGTTTACTAACCACTAGGAATACTTAGTGTGAGTTGGAGGTTACATACTTTTGTAATGAGTCAGATATTTTAGTGGGTACTTCAAGGCCATTGTTTAATCATACTTAGTTTGTTATCAGAGTTCCATATTTTTTTGTGTTACATTTTCTTGTAAAAATTCGAATGAGAATATATATAATTATTATACATCTATAGTGTGTTATATCCAAGCTTGTATTAATTTATAAATATTATATAAAAAATAACTACATTTAGATATGTTTGACATAAAAATAAATATTTTCATTCATAAAAATATGCCTCTTCTATAAATAAACAAATACTCCACTTACCTTTTTAAAGAATCTGTAGATCATGCCCAGTACATCCATGTTATCTTCACTGCTTACAGGCAGTGCAAATTTGCTTGTGACTGCCATGTTATTATTCGCCTATAATAATAGATACAATAATAAAATCACTATTTTATTATTGTATTATTTGATATGAAAAAAAATTATATAAATACAAAAATATAGTGGATGAGTTAAAAAAAACAGAAAATGGAGAGGCAACAGACAATACAGAAATTAGGAGAAGAAAAAATTTTCTTATGAAAGTATTTGTAGGATAATTGATAATCATAAGACTAAAACAACATCGAAGTTAAGGTTTGAGTCACTATTATTTATAGATTTTATTAGTTCACTATTAGTTCAAGATAATAGTCGCACAACCATGTAACATGTTTATATAAATGGACATAAAACCTACCATTGTATACAACACAAGGCGAACGGCGTACGACAAATTATAAACTAAAAACAGCAGAACTATATCGATATGAACACATGAACACTACAAAACTAACTCAAACAGAATTACCGAATGTCTGTCAATTTAGTTCCTGACGTTAGCGGTAAGTTGAGCCAATTTGTTACGTCTACAAGCTGTTTTTTCCTTTCTGATACTTATGTATAGTAATATCCTGATACAATTATTGACATCATTTCATTGTTAATTATTTTACTTAAGTAAATCAATAGTTAATCTTATTTGTTATTCCAATACAAATATTGGTTTTATGGTTTGAGTTTGACATAACAGAATTGATTGAAGGTTGCCGTCAGTTGTCGCATTTACAAAGAGTGGTAATTTACATTGTTGTAAAAGTTTACCGTTAAGTTGTAAAATTAGTGGTATTGCATATTGATCTGTATACATTTATAATTATTTTATCAGCAAAAGTATTAGCTCGGAAAACAAATCCATGTCAACGTAATATCAAATCTTAACAATTAGGCTTACTAAGCATACCTCGTAAACAGCTCAACTTTTAACCTGTTTCAACCTATTGACAGCAAACTTCAGACTTTAATTCAAATAAGGATAAACAGAGTTTTAAAAATATGTTATTCGCTCGGAAGGTCGCACAAAGTACGCTTAAGCTTACGGAATGGTATTGGACTATTGATCGACCCAACAGAAAATTGTTTATTGTCATTAAAATATTTCCTATCAAGACTGACATTGTAAACTATATTAATCACAACCAACTTAAGCTTACCACAACTTCATGTTCATGGTAATCAATTCCATAAAAGCAATTTACAAGAAGGTGCTGATCGAGTGTCAGCTTAAGCAATAACCATATTTAGAATGAAAAAAAAGTTAGTGGTGAAATAAAACATCTTAAAAGGAAAATGCTGGACGAATAAAACCAATGGGTTATTACTTATATGAATATCTTTAATTAAAACATGATTCCATAATACAGTACGATGAAATGATTACAACAATAACTTTGTATAAAATGTTTTGAATGAACTGAGTATAAAAGTTTATTCCTGTTTTTAGAAAACAATTATTTAGACATTTAAAACTATAACTACAATAATTTCAATCCACTATAATCTTAGTAATGTCTATATTGTGACAACAAAATGTAAAAATATTTTTCTAGCAAATAAACGATAATTCATATACAACATAGATGTAAAAATATTTAATATGGAATGATAAATCTGTTCATAATCTCTATTTAAAAAGTCTTTGTGATGCAAAATTATGTCTAGTTTTTTAATAGCAATATTGCATATCTATAGATTAATATATCTAATTGTTTCAAAATAAATTGCACATTTTTATAAAAATTATTTTGTGCAGAATGCATATTACATTTAACAAATTACCAAAAAAATAACAAATTTTGATATGAAATATAACATGAGCTCTAAAAATGAATAAATCTCAATAAAATATATTAAAGCCTGCCTTCGCTAGTAACATTTTATAATCTTTTGAACTTGGAACTCAATTAACTGTATTTGTATAAAGATATTAGATAAATTCATTCTTAGTGTTATGATATCAAGTCAGAACCTTTGCCCATCTGAATTATAGTCAAAAGGCGTATAAATGCAAGAAAATTTCCCCATTTTTCATCTCATTAATCTTTACTAACACTTTGGAGTAATTATTTGAGATATCTTTCATGCAATATATCAGGGCAATTTATTTTCCCATAATCTCACCTACTGAAACATATTAAATTTACTTTAGTATAAATTTGTTGACATATATGTATTTTATAGTCTTTCAAACAGTCCATAATAAAATATTACCTTCCATCCTATTAATTCATCTTAACTATTAAAAAGTATTAAAATTATAAGTACATATATATTTCATTTTCCTTCATCAAAGGTATAACTAATTATATTTATAAAAATATATTTCTATTCCTCATCTACTCTCATAACTAGTTTACCATTGCATAGATTAAAAAAAACTATAATATTAAAAAGAAAACCTAGATTGCTTTATAGTTTTAGTGAACTTTACTGTGCTAGATGTTTAACGCGTTCGAGTAATGCATCACAAGTCTTCTTTGCATCGCCCAACAACATGGCGGTGTTGGGGTTGTAGAATATAGGATTGTCCACAGCGGCGTAACCGACTCCCATAGATCTCTTCATGACCACAACCTGAAATAAAATATTCCAGATCAACACTAACAGATCGAGTGTTGGACAGGTTTTAAGTTGACTTAAGTTTGTATAGTATATGCTTAACATTTCCTTAGAAAAATTCCACAATTTTTTACAAACATCTGTGGACAATCGCCTCTTCCAAATTTCTTTTTACAAACATGTACTACATCGTAAAAACCCTTTTAAAATCTATTCTTCAAATACCCTTTTCTTTATTTTATAAACTCATCAACGGAGGATGTGAAATATTTACCTGGTTTGCTTTCCATACTTTGAGCACTGGCATACCCGCAATAGGTGATTCAGGGTCATCTTCAGCAGCGCTATTAACCGTATCGTTAGCACCTAAAATAAAGTGGGAAAATTAAATTTAATTCTAAATTAAATTACAAAATCAAATTTACTACCAGTTGGTATTAATGAACAATATGTACCAATAACAAGCACAAGGTCTGTGTCCGGGAATTCATCGTTAATTTCTTCCATTTCGAAGACATCGTCGTATGGCACACCCGCTTCTGCGAGCAACACGTTCAGTTGTCCGGGCATACGGCCTGCAAAACAATGCATTTGTTAGTAGAGTAGTAAGTAGTCATAGATGTGTTGGTATATCATTTACCTATGTTGGAGATAAAATGTCGCTGCGCGGAACACAATTTTAGGTAAAAGAATGCGGGGGAGTATGCAGCTACTACACCTTGGTTAAAGTTTAATGGTTACTTGAGCCATCTCTTTGTCTAGATTTTAAATACAATTTTTGAATAATGGCCTTAGGAACAACTCTGAAAAGAATGGTTAATATAATAAAAATTACCTGCAACTGGATGTATGGCGAAGCGCACCTTTTTACCGGCTTCCTTCAGCATTTCGACAAGCTCAGCAATAGGGTATTGTGCTTTAGCGACGCACAGACCATAGCCTGTGGAATAAATAACGTTATAAACAATTTGTCAAATAGTTTTAACACTGTTATTCCGTTTATTACTTGACTATTCAATGATTAAAATATTGTATGTTAAGTATTTTATTGTTACCAGGTGTGATGATAATGGATGAGGCACGGTGTATAAGGTCTGCGACGGAGTCGATATTAAGCTCGGTGTGCGTTGCGCCAGCGGGGCGCGCGGACCCGCCCGTCGTCACGCCGTACCCGCCCAGGATTACATTCGGCAGAGAACGGTTCATTGCCTAATAAACAAGTTTTTATTTAAATTATGAATTTTACCATGACAGATATGGATTACTGGTTGACGAATATAATTATAATAGGATTTTTTTGATTAGGCTGTAGTATCTACATCTTGCTATTATCAGAAGTGTCAGACCATGTCAATAATTTTTATTATCGCTTTATGTCTATTTTAAATGTGCTAATATGTATGTGGAGTACAATAAGTGAGGGTTACGAGTTACCTTGCACATGATGTAGGACAGTATGGCGCCGGAGCTGCCGATGAGCGCGCCCACGATGGTCATGAGCGAGTTGTTGAGCATGAAGCCTTCCGCGCACAGCGCCCATCCGGAGTAGCTGTTCAGTACCGTGATTACAACCGGCATGTCCGCACCTACGATCGTATCCAAATATTTGTTACGAAAAAACGACACAATTCTAAACAAAATTTTTCTGTAAAACTACGAATTTCATTACATAAAACTAATATATATAAAAAATATAATTTTTTTGGTTATAAATATTATTTATATACCTCCGATAGCAGCAGTGAGTGTAAGTCCCTGTATGCCACTGAGCACGGCGGCGGCGGAGAGAAGCGGAAGACCGGGCGCATCGGGCAGCGCGATAAGCGCTCCGCCGCAGCCCAGCGAGCCCGCCAGCAGGCCCGCGTTGATCGCGTGCCGGCCCGGCAGCAACAGCGGCGCCGAAGACAGCGACCCTTGCAGCTTACCGTAAGCCACTAGGGACCCACTGCAACAGATATGTGATATTAGAATTTTTAGCTTTTTAAACTTTAGTTGTTCTTTCTTTCATGAAATTACAAATAATCGGATTCTAAACGATCAATAGTGGTAGGAAGCCCTTTTTTTTTCAATATTTATTGCCATTAACAACAATTTTCAATAATTAAGTGTATTATTGTACTCACGTGAAAGTGATGCCTCCAATGTATGTGCCGAGGAAGAGCGATGTCTTGAGCGTGGCGGCCGTGGGGTCGAGCGCCATGGCCGGGAAATCGTGCATGTACGTGGCCACGCATGTCAGCACCGCCGCCATGCCCACCAAACTATCACACGTTAAAATTATAAAATATCATAATAGTGTGTTTCGTGTTACCATATTAAAAATGTGTCAGTTTATAAAATTAAAATTGTGGACTGAACGAATCATTGACGATGCCTACCTGTGGAAACCAGCCACGAGTTGTGGCAGGTCTGTGATTTCTATCTTCTTAGCGATGACGCTGCCGAGCAAGCCGCCGATACCAGCGACACCTATCATCTGCGCAAGCACCTCCGCGTTGGGTGTCATGGCGCCTAGCGTAGCAGCGATACCGCCCGCTACACCGATCTAAAACACAAGTATACATGTCATTATTCTTATTTAATTATATTAGTAGTCAACAATCTTTTGTGACTAAATGCAATCTCATATTACTAAAGAATCATCAAAACTGTGACTAGCTGTAACCCAAGTTGCCTCGTTAGTTTTGTGAAGAAATGTAAAATTATGACTATATTACATAAATTTAGACTTTAAAATTTATGTTGAGAAATTATAGTCATAATTATTGACCAAAACATAAATACTACATATTAGAATAAAATATACACTAAGAATAGAATTAAATATAAAAATTTTATCGGTTGTAACTATATTATGTAGGATTTATGTTTTAGAGCCAATGATGTCTCACTGCCTTTACAATGATCAATAGATTGAAGCTAAAGTCATCAAGATTACAATGAGCGGGTCTTCTTGGGTCGAGTCTTGTAGCTGCCAACAATTTATGGATGCCTTTTCTAATCATCGATTGCATTAATAATAGATGATGTATTTATATATCAGTATATTAATGACAAAACAAACCATTCCAAGATAGTTTCCTTTCCTAGCAGTGGCCTGTGAGCTGAGGCCAGCGAGTGCGCCCACGCAGCACAGTGAAG